GGGTGGGACCTGGGGGGGCTTCTGGTGCTGGGGGTGAATGTTCTTGTCTGAGCATCTGCCCTGGGGGCTGGTGCTGGGGGGGCTTCTCACTGAGCATCCTCCCCATGGAGCATCCTCCCTGTGGGCTGATACTGGGGGGTTCTTCACCCCCTGGGATGGCACTGGGGGGCTCTTCACCCCTGGGATGGCACTGGGGGGGCTCTTCACCCCTGGGATGGCACTGGGGGGCTCTTCACCCCTTGGGATGGCACTGGGGGGCTCCTCCCCCTGTGGGTTGATACTGGGGGCCTCTTCACCCCTTGGGCTGGTACTGGTGGGCTCTTCACCCCCTGGGCTGGTACTGGGGGGTCTTCACCCCCTGGGATGGCACTGGGGGGCTCTTCACCCCTGGGATGGCACTGGGGGCTCTTCCCCCCCTGGGCTGGTACTGGGGGCTCTTCACCCCCTGGGCTGGCACTGGGGGCTCTTATCCCCTGTGGGCTGATACTGGGGGCTCTTCACCCCTTAGGCTGGTACAGGGGGGCTCCTTGCCCTGTGGGCTGATACTGGGGGCTCTTCACCCCTTAGGCTGGCACTGGGGGGCTCTTCAGCCCATGGACTGGCACTGGTTGCTCCTTGCTGAGCATCATGTCCATGGGTTGGCACCCAGGGGCTCTTCACCCCCTGGGCTGGCACTGGGGGGCTCTTCCCTGTGTGGGCTGATACTGGGGGGGCTCCTCACCCCCTGGGTTGATACTGGGGGGGCTCCTCTGCCCCTGGGCTGGTTCCCAGCGCTGCCCACCCGCCCCTCTGGAGGGTGAGGGACGAGGGAAGCGCGGGACGGTCCCCTCGGCGTCTCCCACTCGCCGCCTCCTCCCGCGCCCGCCGTGCCCGCTCCTGGCTGGGAGCAGGAGGTTATGAAAATGAGCCGTGTGCCCAGGAGACTGTAATTATCTGCTAAGTGTGAAAGCTGGAGTGATTAATTAAGAGATAATAAAAAGAAAAAGGAGGCTAGAGAGGGAATAACGGATGCTTTGATGATAAAACCTGAGGTAAGGCAAGCAATTAGGGGAATCTTTATGGAGAGTTAGCTCTAATCCTGGCGTTGCCCACGCGGCAGGGGGGTGGCTCTGGGATGGAGGGATGGACCCACGGAAGCCGTGGTGGATCCCCGTGGGATTGTGCTCCTTGGAATGGGTTTGCATCCCGGTGAGCCCGGGCAGCAGGATCCAGGTAGGATCTAGGCCAGGAGGAAAGCTGGGATTAAACCAATCCTGACTTAATTCAGGATGGGAATGTGATTAATGCCACTCAGCCCTGGGTGGTGGGAGAGAGGTGCCCTCACCATCCTGGGGTGTCACCTCCGGGTGGTTGGGATGCCAGAGGCCCTCGGATGGCTCCAGGTCCTACAGGGAACAGGGAAAAGCTGCCAGGGGGTTGCCTCCTGAGGGAGAAACAGGCCCTGGCATCCAGGGGGTGATTCAGCCCTGGCACAGGATGCCCGGGCAAGTCCCGGCACGGCACCGTGGCTGCCACGGCAGGGCCCATCCTGTCAGCCCCAAAAAGCTCCTGGACCCCGTCCCCACAGCCCCTGTGATGGGGCTGCTGAGTGTCCCTCACTCCCACATGGAGAAACAGAGGCATCCCTAGGGTGGGAAAGGGATGAAACCTCCCCTGGAGGAGGGAAAAGCATCGGCAACCCCTCTGACCCCCATCCAGAAGCCACGAGCGCCGATTCCAGCTGCCAAAATGGGTGACTCCGGGGCTGCAGGGACCTGTCAATGGCTCTGCCCCCTCCACTGAGGGGTTTTTCGGGGGTGGGGGTCCTGGGGGCTGTTGGGTTCCTGCCCAAGGCGGGGGGGGGGGGACACACACACGGGGAACGAGGCAAAGCCACCACCCGCGCCGGCGGCCACGGCGAGGTCGACGCGAAGCCAGAGATGGAGTCAAAACAGAGCCAGAGATGGATCAATTCACCCCAGAGAGCAGCTCCAGAGCGAGGGCTCCACGTGCACCGCGGGGTCATCCCGGGCAAGCGCCTGCAGGAAGCCCAGGGAGCCCCCTGGATCGGGCACGTTCCGAGGGCCACCGGCAGCACCAGCGCTCCCCGAACTGAACCTGCACGAGGCTGAACCCCCCCCTGGTTCTAGCACAGCCCCCAGCCCTGGGGAGGGGTGAGGGAAGGGCTGCTGTCCTCCCCCCGAGCCACGAGGGGCTTTGATTACCCTGTGGGCATCCCAGACCCTGTCCTGGCATCCCAGACCCCCATCTGGGCATCCCAAAGCGGCTCCGGATGCTGCCGGAGGGAGGACGGGCGGGTGCCCACTGCCATTCCCATCATCTCTCGAGACCACCAGGACCTTCCTCTGCCTCCCTCCCCCTCCCTGGGAGTCACAGAGAGCATGAACATCCTGGATCAGCGCCAGCCAGGGTGGCCTGGTGCCCTGGCACCGTCCCTCCCAGCCCAGCACGAAATCTGGGGTCAAGGGGCCACGTCCCTCCATCCCAGTCCCATCCCAGCTCCATCCCAGCTCCATCCCAGTCCCATCCCAGCTCCATCCCCCCAGCACCAGCACCGTCCCTCCCACCCCAGCAAAAATTCAGGGTCGAGGAGCCACATCCTTCCATCCCAGCCCCATCCCAGCCCCATCCCAGCCATCCCAAACAATTCACCAGCACAGGGACCCATCCTGACCTCGAGCCACCCGGTGCCACCTCTTGCTCCATCAGCCACCACGTCTCCCACGGGACACGCAGTGAGTTTGCCAGGTCTCAGAGCCACACCATGGGGGGGGGGGACCAGCACAAAATCCCCCCCAGGACCACCCCCTCACCTCTCTGCCATTTCAGTTTTGCAGCTTTGGAAAGGAAAGGGGAAGGGGAAGGGGGGAGGGAAATAAAAACTAAAAAAAAAACCCACCCCGGAGAGAAAAAAGAATGGCCCAGAAAATGAATAAATATTTCAATTTGAGGCGCAATCACGGCGAGTGATTGAAACGGGGGAGAAGAATAATGGCTTTCATTTAGATAAGATACAGAAAATTATTTAGTGAGAAATGAAGAGTGATGAAACCCATTCAACATCTTTGTGTGCAAGGGCATGAATGGCACCAATCCCCCCCCCCTCCCCACCCAGACCCACCAGCACAGCCGTGGCTCTGCAGGGAATGGAACCCAAAATTCCACCCCCTCCCCTTCTAAGGGGGGAAGGACCCCCAAATTTTGCCTCCCTCCCCCCAACAAGAGCAGCAGGAACCCTCCCAGAGCCTCATTTTGGAGCAAGGCTCCTCTTCCCAGACCACAGAGAAACTTCCAGGGTGGGAGTTGGGTGGGATGGGGCTGCTCGGGATGGACCGGGGTGGGGTGGGAGGTCACTGGTTTGTCACCCAGGGATGTCACCCCCCTCCCTCCCTCCTCCCTGCCATCCCCAGGGATCCATCCAGGCAGAGGGAAGGGAAAGGAAGGGCTGGGCCCCTCTGGCCGCCCAAATCCACATGGCACCGGGGCGGGAGAGCGGCAGCTTTTGTTCCTGGGAGGGCAGCGGAGCCCCCGCCTCCCCTCCGGCGCTTCCCCAGCCCAGCGTGGGGTTTGGGGGTGATCCAGGCCCTGCCCCCCACCCCCGGCCCCTAAGAGGCTTTGCACGCTCTTTTTAAACCCCCGGGTCCACTCAATTTTTTTTTTTACTATTTTTTATTTTTTTTCCCCTCCTCTTGGCATCTTAGCAACGCCGCCCCCTTAATTAAAAATTAGATTGGATTTTGCGGCTGGGAAGGAGCCGGAGGGGGCCGCGCAGGGGCCGCCTGGGCGCGGGGGGCAATGCCCGGCCGAGGGGGGGCTCAGACCCCAAAAACTCGCTGCGTGGGGCAGGGGAGGCCCTGTGGGAGGAGGATGGGGGGGGTGGTAGAGGGGTTGGACCCCCACCCTGCTCCTCTCCCTCCGCGTGACCTTGGCAGAGCGATTCCCCGCGCCTCAGTTTCCTCGAGGGGGCACTGGGGGGGGTCAGACAGGGACGTGGGAGGGGGGGCTCGGGATGTGCCCCCCTTTCCCCTCGGCTGGGAGCCCTGGGGAACGTGTGGGTGGAAAAAAGGGGGGGCCCACGTTCCCCACGGTGCCTATCCTCAGGGATGGCCGCGTTGGGAACGGGGGGTCCTGGCTGTTTTTATTTTCCCCCCCGGAGATGTCCCTTCCACTCCCCGCAGACGAACAGACGGATTGACGGATGGATGGACGGACGGACGGACGGACGGCAGCCTCCCCCCTCTCCCTTCCCGCCATGGCCAGGCCGGGTCCCCCCATCACCCTCACCCCCCACGGGGGGTGCCCAGGGCCGAGACCCCACTGCTGGGCACCCTCTGATCCCGCGGTCCCCGACCCCCACCCAAATCCCCAACACCCCGACTCACCGACCCGGGAACCCCGCGGGACCGGGATGGGGGGGCCCAGGATCCAGATCGGAGGCGGCGGGGGGGGGAAGACAAAACCTTGACCCCAGAGCGGAGGATCCAACAGGACCAGAAGCGGGCGAACAGATCGGCCCCGGGGGTGGGGAGAACCGGCCCCGATTCCATCAGGACCACCCCCCTCCCCGGTACGGGAGTGGGGCGGGAGGGTGGGGGGACCACGAGGAGCAGCCCCGGGGGCACCGCGGCCGGGCGGGAGCTCCTCCGGGATGGCAAAGGGGTTCCCAAAAACCCACGGCGGAGCGATCCGGGTCCGATCCCTCCGGTTTCCCGGCTCCGATCCCGGCCGGAGCCGCGCTCATCCCAGCGGGCACGGGCGGGACCGGCTCCGCTGCTCGAGCCGAGCTCGGGCTGGAGCGCTGCCCGAGGAGTTGGGAATCGCGCTCCGGGCGGCCCCGCGCTGCCTCCGCCCGCTCCCCGATGCCCTCTCCCCGCTCCCCGGGTACCCGATTCCCGCTCCCCGGTGCCCCGATGCTCGGAACCCGCCTCCTCCCGCTTCCCGATCCCCTCTCCCGCCGCTCCGCGCCCCCCATCCCCAGCGCCCCGACGCCCGGTGCCCACCTTGCCCGCGGGTCCCGGCGAGAGTCAGCAGGCAGAGGAGGAGGAGGAGGAGGATCCGCATGCTCCCGTCCCGGGCCGGCCGCGCTCCGGGCAGGGCCCGAGGGGGGTGGTCGCCGCCCCGCTCGGCCCCGCGCCCCGGTACCGGCACCGGCAGCGCTAGAGCATGGCCCGGGCCGGGCCGGGGCCGGGCTGGGGCCGGGAAGGGCCACGGGCTCCGCCGGCTCCGCTCCGCGCCGAGCCCCGAGTGCGCCGCGGGAGGGGCGGGGCGGGCGGGGGCGGGACGGGGGGAGGGAGGGGTGGGAGGAGGGAGGGGAGGGGGGATGAGAGGGGTGGGGGTGAGGGTTCTGCGTGTGCCGGGGGAGGGGGTCCGTGTGCGAGGGGAGGGAGGGACGGAGGGAAAGAGGGAGGGAGGGGGAGAGAGAGGGACGTGTCACGCGTGGGGCTGTGCGGGCGCGTGTGTGGTGGGGGTGTGCACGTGGGGGGCGGTGGGGGGGTGGACATACGTGTTGGGGTGTCTACATGTGTGTTGGGATGTTTACATGCGTGTTGGGGTGTGCCCACGCGTGTTGAGGTGTGCACATGCGTGTTAGAGTGGGTACATGCGTGTTGGAGTGTGCACATGTGTGTTGGGTGTGTACATGTATGTTGGGGTGTGTACATGCGTGTTGGGGTGTGCACACGCGTGTTGGGTGTGTACATGCATGTTGGGGTGTGTACATGCATGTTGAGGTGTTTACATGCATGTTGGGGTGTGCACATGCATGTTAGAGTGGGTACACGCGTGTTGGGGTGTGCACATGCGTGTTGGGGTGTGCACATGCATGTTGGAGTGTGCACATGCATGTTGGGTGTGCACATGTGTGTTGGAGTGTGCACATGCGTGTTGGGGTGTGCACATGCATGTTGGGGTGTGTACATGCATGTTGGGGTGTGCCCACACGTGTTGGGGTGTGTCCATGCATGTTGGGGTGTGTCCATGCATGTTGGGTGTGCCCATGCGTGTTGGGGTGTGCACATGTGTGTTGGGGTATGCACATGCATGTTGGGTGTGCCCATGCGTGTTGGGGTGTGCACATGTATGTTGGGGTGTGTACATGCATATTGGGGTGTGAACACGCGTGTTGGGGGGTGTGTTCACATCTGTGCACACGTGTTGTGTGTGCACGCCTGTCCACGCGTGTTGATGCGTGTTGTGTGTGTGATCCTCCAGCTCTTCCCTGCCAGAGGTTGGTTTGGGGTTTTTTTCCCCCCCTCCTCCTCCTCCTTTTTTTTTTTTTTTTTTTTTTTTTTTTTTTTAATCTTAAATAGAATTTTTAGCCCGGAGGGATTTAGAGGAAACATGGAAAAACCGGGAAGCGGCGCCTGACTCAGCCCCAGCCCTGCTCCATCCCAAGCTCTGCCAAGGGGGTCGGAGAGCAGCAGCTCCAGAGCCTGCTAAACCCCCTCCTTCCACCACCACCCCCCTCCCATTTTTTAATCTCTCCTGGGGATTTCCAAATGTTTTTTTCCCTCCCCTCTTCCAGTGGTTGCAGGTTGGCACATTCCCAGTGTCCCTTGTGTTCCCTCTTCTTCCTCGGAGTCTTCCTCCAGCTGCAGCTTTCCCCCCCTCCCCCCCACCAGGGGGGACCTCCCCCAGGAATCCAGGGATTCTCAAATTCCCCCTGGCAAAGCTCAGAGGCACCAGGAGCTTCCCGCTGGCCAAAGAGGAGCCGAGATGGATGATGGCAATAAAGGGAGATGAAAATAAAGGATGTTTATTAAAACTGATCCCATGGGTTTGGGCTTGGGAAGCGTCCACAGGGGGGGAAGCCGGGCTGGGATGATATTCCTGGGCTCCCAAATCCATCCCAAAACTCTTCCCTGGATCCAGCAGGGTCTCCAGGGCCCCACAGATCTGCCCCCGCTGCGAGGAATTTGAGGAGGAGAGAAATCCGAAGGAGTTTGTGGAGCACGGAGAGAGGTCAGGGAGGAGCGGCGGCGGCGGCAGCCGGGAATTTGCTGACGGCAGGAGAGGGAAAAGCCGCCGTGTCCGCGCTCGGGAGCGGGAGTAGCTGGGGCTGGCACTGCAGGGGGGTTGGCAGAGGCAGTGGGGACCCCCAAAATCTGGGGAAAAAAGCAGGGGGCAAAGCCAGCACAGCCCAGTCAGCTCCGTGTCGGGGCCCTTATCCCAGTGGCAGGCCCATAATCCCGGAGTCAGACCCGTAATCCCGGTGTTGGGCCCCTCATCCCAGGGACAGACTCATTATCCTGGTGTTGGGCCTCTCATCCCAGCGTCAGACTCATTATCCCGCTGTTAGGCCCGTAATCCTGGCATTGGATCCATCATCCTGGCATCAGGGCCCTTTAATCCCGGTGTTGTGCCCGTTATCCCAGTGCTGGGTCCATCGTTGTGGTGTTGGGTCCATTATCCCAGTGCCGGGCCCATCATCCTGGAATTGGGTCCGTTATCCCAGTGCCGGGCCCATCATCCTGGAATTGGGTCCGTTATCCCAGTGCCGGGCCCATCATCCTGGAATTGGGTCCATTATCCCAGTGCCAGGTCCCTTATCCCAGTGTTGGGCCCATTATCCCAGTGCCGGGCCCATCATCCTGGAATTGGGTCCGTTATCCCAGTGCTGGGCCCATCATCCTGGAATTGGGTCCGTTATCCCAGTGCCAGGTCCCTTATCCCAGTGTTGGGCCCATTATCCCAGTGTTGGGCCCATTATCCCAGTGTTGGGCCCATTATCCCAGTGCCAGGCCCTTATCCCGGTGTTGGGCCCATTATCCCAGTGCCAGGCCCATTATCCCAGTGCCAGGCCCCTTATCCCGGTGTTGGGCCCATTATCCCAGTGCCAGGTCCATTATCCCGGTGCTTGGCCCATCTTCCCAGCATCTCATTCCGTCCTTCCGGATGACTCCACATGAGTCATCCACAAGAGACCCTTCCCAGTCCCACCACCCTGGGAGGGAACATCCGGATCCAGGAATGTTGTGGAGCGGGTGGGAAGCACAACACCCCTCCAGCCTCAGAGCCGGGATGGGCACCGGGAGATCCAGAGCCAGGATTGGCATCGGGAGACCCCGGAGCCGGGATGGGCATCGGGAGACCCGGAGCCAGGATTGGCATCGGGAGACCCCAGAGCCAGGATTGGCATCAGGAGATCCAGAGCCGGGATGGGCATCGGGAGATCCAGAGCCAGGATGGGCATCGGGAGATCTGGAGCCGGGATTGGCATCGGGAGATCTGGAGCTGGGATTGGCATCGGGAGATCCGGAGCCAGGATGGGCATCAGCAGATCCGGAGCCAGGATTGGCATCGGGAGATATGGAGCTGGGATTGGCATCAGCACATCCGGAGCCAGGATTGGCATCGGGAGACCCCAGAGCCAGGATTGGCATCAGGAGATCCGGAGCTGGGATTGGCATCGGGAGACCCCCGAGCCGGGATGGGCATTGGGAGATCCGGAGCCGGGATTGGCATCAGGAGACCCCGGAGCCGGGATTGGCATCGGGAGATCCGGAGCCGGGATTGGCATCGGGAGATCCGGAGCCGGGATTGGCATCGGGAGATCCGGAGCCGGGATTGGCATCAGGAGATCCAGAGCTGGGATGGGCATCGGGAGATCCAGAGCCGGGATTGGCATCGGGAGATCTGGAGCCGGGATTGGCATCGGGAGACCCTGGAGCCGGGATTGGTATTGGGACACCCCGGAGCCGGGATTGGCATTGGGAGATCCGGAGCCAGGATTGGCATCGGGAGATCTGGAGCCGGGATTGGCATCAGGAGATCCGGAGCTGGGATTGGCATCGGGAGACCCCGGAGCCGGGATGGGCATTGGTAGATCCGGAGCCGGGATTGGCATCGGGAGATCCGGAGCCAGGATTGGCATCGGGAGATCCGGAGCCGGGATTGGCATCAGGAGATCCGGAGCTGGGATTGGCATCGGGAGACCCCGGAGCCGGGATTGGCACGGGCCGCCGGTTTTCTCGCCGCCCCGAGCGCCGGGGGGCGTGCCGGGAATCTCCGGCGGGCCGTGAAAGCCCCATCTGCGCCAGCAATAACAACAATCATCGGGATATTTATCCGGAGCCTCCCGGCGCCTTCCAGGACCCGTTTGGAAGCAGCCGCCTGGATTCCCTCCCTCGTCCCGGGATGGGGGCCCGGGGGGTCCCTGTGGGGGAAGGAATTTCACTGCCTGTTCACCAGTAACAGAATTTGAGTGTCTTTCCATTATTTTTGGGGTATGGGAAGTGCTTCCAGCAGGAAAGGCAGGTGAATTCCTGCCAGGCTGGAAGAGTCTCTGCTCCAGCTCTTCCAGGCTCTTTATTATTATATTTTTATATTTTTTTCCCTCCTCCCCACCCCACACAAAAAAAAAAGCAGTTCCCAGGAAGCCTCTCTGCCCGGTGTTCACTCGCTCCTCTATCCCCGACCTCCATCCCATGGGAATTAACTCCCGTCCAGGAGGGCCAGGAGCTCCTGCCTGCACCGAGGATTGGGATTTGTGGAGCTGCAGGAAACTTGATTTCCCAAGGAAAAGCCTCTCTGGGCTCCTTCCCCCCTCCCCAGCCCCTCAAAATAACTCCTGAGCTCCTCGGGAGATTTAAACCACGTTCCACGAGGGGGGTGAGGGATGAAGGGATGAAGGGATGAAGGAGGGAGGCAGGGAAGAGGGGAAGGAGGGTGGGGAGAGCTGGGGGAGGGGGCTCAGCCCTGTGGGAAGCACTGATGGGGGCTGTAGGGGGTGGCACAGGGTGCCTGTGGGTGCTGGTGGACTGGGGGGTGCTGGTGGGTACTGGTGGGTGCTGGTGGGTGCTGGGTGCCACCATTCTCAGCCCCACCCCCTGGCCCTGCCCTGGCTGTGGGACCCCCATCCCCATCTCCCCCCACCCATCACCCCTCCCCAGCCACCCCCCAGCAGCTCCTTGGCCTAATCCTGCTCTGGGTGGGGGTCACAATCTGCTCTCCAACCCCCCAGGCAGTGCCCGAGGACTGAGCTGGTTCTCCCAGAAATAATCCTGTCCCATCCCCTGCTGCTCCAGGATTGGGGATTTCTCCACCCGGGATTCCTTGTGATGCCTCTCCTTTGGGTGCTGCCAGCTGGGCCTCAGCCTCCCCATCTCCTAAATCCTGCTGCTCCCTGCTCAGGGAATCCCACAATCCCTGAGGTTGGAAAAGCCCTCCAGTCCATCCCTGTGTCCCATCCCCACCTTGTCCCCCAGTGCCACCTCCAGGGGTGGGGACTCCCCCACCATCCCTGGGCAGCCCCTGCCAAGACCCTGACCACCCTTTCCAGGAGGAAATTCCTCCTCATATTCCAGGGAGCAGGTTCAAGCATCGAGGGGCAAAAAGGGGGGGACAAAGCCCAGGCACAGGATCCATCTCCAGCGTCATTCCAGGGTCACTCCAGCCCCTCACTTCCCCACCCCCGGCGCCAACAACAACAATCTCAGGGCTGTCGTTGTTGCCTTTGAATATTTATTTCCCCTCTCACACTTAATTCCTGCATCTCCTAACGAGCCTTGTAGTTGTGTGTGTTTGTTTTTGCCTCCCGGGCTCTCGGCTCGGACAGAGGTGCTAATAAAGGCGACATCTGTCACCGGGGATTACATCGGGATCTTGTTAACACGTTGTTCCCTTTAAATAAATAATTGTCCCCCAAACCGACATTTAATTGTTAAAGCAAACACCGGAACGGACCCCACGTGGGGGTGAGGGGTGAGGGGAGCCCCGGAGAGGCAGGAGCATCCCCAGGGAGCCATCCCAGCCCTTCCACGGGGGGGCAAATCCCGTTCTCCCACTCTCCCAGGAGGCTCTGGCAACCCAAGGGATTGGGTTCCTGGGATGATGGAGGTGGACACAGCAATCCCAGGCTGCTGGTGAGGAGGATTTGGCCTTGCTGGGGACAGGGAAAGGTGTCAGTGCTGGGTGGATTTGGGGGATCCCCCCTGAGTCCCTCCTGGAGGGCAGGGCTGGGAGTGGATCCTGTGCTCCCCCAAACTTTGGGAAGCTGTGGGACCCCTGCAGAGCCCCAGGATTGTTGGGATGATGCTGAACACACCAGGCTGGGGACAATCCCTCTGGGATCACCACACGGACCAGGATCCATCCCAACCCCATCCCAGAGCACCCAGAGGGGGAGCCCAGGGATGGGCTCAGGAATCCTGGCGAGGCAAAACCCTGGGCTGTCCTGGCAGGGCCCTCCTTCCTCCTCGTCCTCGTTTGCCCAGGCCTAATTCATAAATCAGCAGGCAGGAGTAATTTCCCCAGGAGAGCGTTTAGACGGGAGATTGAATGAGTAATTTACTGGGAACATTAAGACGGCACCGGATAACTTATTTATGAGAACTTTTTGACAGATCTGCCACTCAATAATTTATGCTGTGCAGCATTTACTCAGGGTCACCAGTAAATAATTCACTTATTATAAACTAGGGGAGGTTTTATGGGACGCTCGCAGCGCATTTGGGGTCGGAAACGCGAGCCCGGCGGTGTCCCAGGATCCCTGGATTGTGTGTGTGTGTGTTTATGTGTGGAGAAGGGACGTGCCACGATGTGTTTGGGTCCTTCCACGAGCTCTGGTGGCCTCTGGGGGGAAGTGGCATTGCCACATTTCGGGGCAGCCGCTTGTGAAACGCGGCTGCCTCAACGTCCTGCACTTCCCACCCTCGAGGGGCTTTCCTGAGGACAACCTCGGCTTCCCCTGGATGGGGGAGCTCTGAGGCAGCAGAGCACGAACAGGGGCTCACCGTTGCCATGGGGACCATCCCTGAGGGATGGCAGCTCTGGGGGACTCATCCCCTGCTGACACTTTGTCCCTGGTCACGAGGTGGACGATGACCAGCAGCACCAGCAGCGGCCCCAGGACGGCGGCCACGAGGTACCCCTTCAGCACACAGTAGTGTCTCCACCCCCCACAGGTTCCCAGCCCCTCTCTGCCCCCGGGGGGCTGCCCCCCGCCCGTGCCCGGCGTTGTGGGGTCTCCAGGGCGTGGCTCGGTCACCCCCGGGGGGGTCGCGGTGCTCCCACCGTGTCCTGCTGCGTTACCGGGCTCGGAGGGCTCACCTGTGGGCACAGGGCGTGGTGTGACACAGGGCCAGTGGGTGGTTAGGGGGCTGGCCCCCACTTTTGAGAAGGAGGGAGGTGCTGGGTGCCACTGGGACAGGGGTTAGTGGGTGCAGCCCCTCCCACACTCCCCCCCGGGATTTGGGAGCCACCAGGGCTGGGTGCGGTGGGTGCAGCAGACACCGAAAGAGGAAGGGAAATTCCTCCACTGACCACATGCCCACCCCAGGCTCTTCCACGTTGTCAAAGAGGTGGGGGGAAATTCCATGGGATGGAGCTCCTGCTCCAGCTTTGGACTCACCATAAACCCGCAGAAAGTATTGGAAGGTCTTTGGGGAGGTGGGGTCGGACAAGGTGTCCACGACCACCTCGTAGTTCCCACTGTCCTCCGGCCTCAGCTGCCCAATCTCCAGGGAGAGGTTGGCAGGGTGGATGAAGAGCCGCCCATGGAAGGCAGGCAGGTAATCCACGGAGAATTTCTTCTCCCGGGGCTTGGCCTCGGCTATGTGGGTCCCCCGGGTCCTCCAGGTGACGCGGGCGATGTCCTCAAAGACGGGACTCAGGGCTGGGAAGGACAGGGACTGTCCCTGCAGCCCCCACAGCACCGGGACACGCAGCCCTGCAAGGCACCAGGGGTGGGGTGAGGCAGAGGGGGGTCTCCACCTCCTCCCCCACCAAAATCACCCCTAGGGACGGCGGCTGGAGCTGCCAGGATGCCCCAACCCCACCTGCCCTGGCGTCCCCCCCAGCCCCGGGAGCATCCTTACCCCCGACTGCCACCAGCAAACAGCAGAGGAGCGTGGCCCCTGCTCCGAGCATGTCCCCTCCTCGCGTGGGGCTGCGTGGGTGCTGCAGCCCCCAACCCACTGGGGCAAGACCCTCCCCGGGACCCGGGAGCGGCGGCAGCGCTGCCAGAGGGGGGATTGCCCAAGGCTGGCAGCCGGGAAGCACATGGATGCCCGTGGGCAGAGGGAAGTGGTAACTTGGCGGTGGGACGGGCTTGGTGGAGGAAGCGGTGGTGGGTGGTGGATGCCGGGACCCGGCTCTGCCCCGGGACAGGCAGGAGAGGGAAGGAGCAGCTCCCGCTTCCCTGGGATCCCGTGCAGGTGATGGATAAGCCCGCGGAGGCCGGGGATGACGATCCAGCTCGCGGGGGTGGGGGTGGGGGGCACGGGCAGAGCTGGGGTGGGGGGTCCTTCCTTGCTCATCCCGGCCCTTTTCCCATCAGAGCCAGCTGGGAACAGGCACTCGGCTGCACCCCCAACGACAGGTGGATTTTAGCTGGGAATAGGCTCAGTGACTCCATAAGATGCTGTTTTCCCCCTGGATGCAGCCCCCGCGCAGCTCCATCCCGGTTTGGTGCTTCCCCGGGGAGATTTGGGAGCAGTGCGAGGGGGCTCAGCTCCCCGCGGGACGGGTTTTTGAGGGGGGCTCAAGGCCGAGCCCAGCTGAGCGCGGTCTAATGCTGCCACCTCCCGGGCAGAGCCGCGCTCCGGTCTGCGAGAGGATCCGGCTTTAAAAATAAATAAATAAAAAAAAATCTTTGGATTTCTTTTCCTCCCGGAGTGGTTTCGAAGCGCCAGCGCAGGCGGGATGGACTGCTTTAAACCGGGAAAGCATTCACAAAGCTGCCTGTCTGCGAACATGGGGAAGGGGGACCGCGGGGGTCCCCACGGGACCCTTCGCGCAGCATCACCTGCCCCGTTCGGCTGCACCGCCTTCCCAAGCGCCGGAGCCGGGAAACCTCATTCCAAAGCCATCCCGAGGCCCCGGAGGGCAGCTTTGTGAGCCCAAGACTCCCCCCTCCCTCCACCCCAAACCCCCCGTCGCCCTCCTCGTCTGCGCATCTCGGGGGCCAAATTTAGCTGGAAGGAGAATGAGGAAGAGCGGATGATGCGCTGAATAAAAACACCCTCTGCAATGCGGTGCTTCGAGTGTGCGGCGTCTTCCCTTCCTCCTCAGCACGGTCCGTGAGACGTGGTAAATGTTTCCTCCTTCCACTCACTCGCCTTTCCTCCCCCCTCCTCCCCGGGCAGAGCTTTTCCAGCCCGAGGAAGGTCCCCTTGATGTAAATTGTTCTCTACGTGTTGAATGGGGCCGCAGACAAAAGCTCTAATTAATCGGCTCAGCCCCTTCTCCGGAGCCGACGTTTTTTTTTTCCAGCCTCACAAAACGCCGCTTTTCCCTTTGTAGCCTTAATTAGTTGTGTTTTTTTTCTCCTCTGCCTGTGAGGGGACGAGGGGCGAGGAGAGGAGAGAGAGAGAGAGAAAGGGGCCGTGGGAGCTGGAGCGTCCCGCGTCACTGCCGGGGCACCGCGTGGGGAGGGAGGGAAAGCCGTGGAGCTTCTCCGGGAGCCGTTTCCCTCACTGATGGGGTTGCAACCCCCTGGAGATGGAGTGGGGACCCCTCAGCATCCTCGGGGACACACCTGGACTGTCCATCTTGCAGAAATCCCGCTCATCCCACCCCTCTCCTCTCCCAGTGCCTTTTTCCAAGACTTTTTTGGGTTTGTTTTTTTTTTTTGGCTGGGAACTACCCCCTCTTTTCGCATCCCCCTGGTAGAACCAGGGCCCTGCTCAGCTTGAACCCCCCACCCCGGTCCCCAGCTCATCCCACGCATCACTCAGCGCCCAGACAGGGTTTTCCAAGCCATCAGCGGGATCGGGAATGGCTGGGAGCCGCCCGGGAATGGCAATGAGCTTACCATAAGGTGATTAGTGGCGCGGCTCCAAGGGCCAGGAGCAGACGGCGGGAGTGATCGGATTTAGGCACCGCTGACCCCGGCGCCTCTTGCTCTCTTCCAGTGACACCCTGGATATCCCAGGAAAAAGCTGCCGGAGCACCGGAGAACCACCCTGGGGACAAGCTCATGAATATCTCCGCCGGAGATTGCTCGAGGTGGTGTCTGGGCCAGATAAGGGAGCGACTGAACTCGGTGCTGCTCCCAGATAACACGGTGCTCCTTCCAGCTGCGGAAGCCATCCCGGATTTATTTACAGATCTGGAGCTGAGATATTCGGGAGAGGGAATAAATAAACCTCTGGTGCTTCTCACCCCTAGGGAGCCTGAGAGCAGTTTGGGAAGTGTTTTCAGTTCCTCCTTCTCTTGTATCCTCCACCTCCACTCACCTTTCCCTAATGACTTCCTCAGCTTGGCATCGCCTGCGTTATTTTCTCCCAATATTTATTTGTTCTCCAAGGCTGATACAAAGGAAATCCCATTTTCCAAAGGCAGTGAAAGGAAGCTCTGGTGAAGCTCTCACTCACCACCCTCCCCCTTTGCTTCCCACAACAAGGCAAATCCTTGAGAACATTTTCCTAGAAATACAAAGTTTCCTTAAAAAAAACCCAATAATTTTTTACAATAATCCGTTGGTAACAGCCCGATTTAAGTGATGCTGAGGCTTTTTGACCCCAAAATGCTCCCACGATTACCTCGGGCTCAGCAGAGGGAGCAGATGAGGAGAAGGGCAACCTGCTCTGTCCCACGGAAAGGTGGAGATGTGGAGGGAGACGAAGGCAGGATCAGCCTGGCTGTGCTGCCCCCACATCTGCTGGGAGACCCCTGGCCGGGCTCTCCAGCTCCCCGACCCCACAGCACGGGGCAGGGGGGTCTTTGGGCTCCCCACGGGCCCGATCCTGCCGCTGGTGGGCTCTGAGGTCACCGAGATCCAAACCGTGCCTGGAGCGGCTTCTCCTCCCCGAAGGAGCCGCAAAAGGGAAAGCAAAACCCCCAAACCCTCCCCCTCTCGGGTCAGTAAAATTAATTTCCTCGGAGGTTTGGGGGCTGCCCGGCCCCGAGCCCGACCCATCCTTGCCCCTCCACCGCACGGGGTACCCGAGCACCCACCCAGCACCCACCCTGAAGGAAGGGCTGCCCGGGGGTCACGGCTGAGATCACGAGGAGGAGGAGGAGGAGGAGGAGGAGGAGGAGGAGGAGGAGGAGGAGGGAGGGGAGCGAAGGCAGGAGAGGAAGTCGCCGCCGGGCACTCACCGAGGGGGTTTTCGCACCTCCCGGCACCGCCGGGACCTTGTGCTGGTTTGGGGGGGTTCGCTCCGAGATGCTCCGGCTCAGGGGTCCCCGGTGCCCCTCGGCGCTGCTGCTGATGCTGATGCTACTGGTGGTGGTCGTGGCCAGCGGCCGAGGTGAGGAGGGGTCACACCCTGGGGGTCCCTAGGGAGGCGGGAAGGGGCTGGGTGGGTTTTTTGGGGGGGTTTTCCTCACTTCTCTGCCCAGGGCAGGTCGATCCGGGCCGGTTCTCACACAGGGAGGGGTGGGGGGGGGGACACAGTTCCCCTTCCTGGGCAGCGTTTTTGGACAAGGGGTTTGTCCGAAAGTAGCCACTTCCTGACAGGGCGATGCCCGTGGCCGTGACCTTTCCTGACCCCAAAAACGCGGCTTTCTGAGGTCAAATCCCTCTGCTGGACAAACGCGGCAACTTTTCCCAGTGATTTCAGGGGAGCTGGTGGCGGCTGAGGGGCTTCTTCCTAAAAAGAGCAGGGGAAAAACCAGGGTTTGGGGTCCAGCTTGGCCCTGGAGCATCTTCTGGCTGCAGCTGGGTGTGTTCAGCCTGGAGAAGAAGAGACTGAGGGGAGAGCTCGGGGGGGCTGCAGCTTCCTCACGAGGGGCAGCTCTGTGTGAGCAGGGACAGCACCCAGGGAACGGCTGGAGCTGAGTTGGGGAGGTTGAGGTTGGATTTTAGGAGAAGGTTGTTCCCCTAGAGGTTTTCTGGGAGCTGAACAGGTTCCCCAGGGCTGTGGGCACAGCCCCAAGGCTGTCAGAGCTGGACAATGCCCTGAGGGACAGGGTGGGATCCTTGGGGTGTCTGTGCAGGGCCAGGGGTTGGACCGGGTAACTCTTGTGGGTCCCTTCCAACTCAGGCTGTTCCACAATTCCAGAATCATTAAGACCCTCTCCCACCTGCCCAGCAACATCAGAGCAGCAACTGAGAGCTAATCCCTTGCGTTCTGCAGGAAATATTTAGGAGCTGGAGCAGTGGGAAGGGCCCCTTTTAAAGATCTGCAGGTCCCAGGTGATAAATAGTCCCATTTTCCCAGTGGGGGGATTTTGGTGCCTTTTCTCGTTCCAACCTCTCATATTCCCTGGATCTGCCGAGTCCAGGGGGAGCACGGGGTGTCCTCACACCCGTGAGGCTTTGCAAAGACCAGGTTCAGCTCAGGGTCCCCCCCCTGTGTCCCCCCCAAAGCCACCCCGACCACACAGAGCTCCAGGAAGTGGCCTCGGCCCTCCGGATGTTCCCAGGGTTTGGGGGGGCTGTTTTTTGTCACCTCCCCCACAGCCCTTCGACATCCGGGGCTGCTCTGAAAAGGGGCAAGCACAGAAAAAGGGGGGGGGGAAAGGTCAAGAGGGAAAAATTCCCCCTCCCCCCTCAAGGTGGGGGTGGGGGGGACAGACACACACAGCAGGGCTGGGGTGGTGAGGAGGGAATGGAATCGTTGGGGTGGATGGAGGTGGGGAAGTGGGATGGGAGGGACTGTGCTGGGGGTCTGGAGCATGGGGGGGGCTCCAGCAGTGACCGTGCCCCCCCCCCTGCAGCCACAGAGCATCTCCTGGGGTCACAATCCCACCTGGGGCTCATCCCACTCTCTGCTTTAGGAGCCCAGGAATGCCTGGAAAGAGCTGTGTCCACCGCTGGAGAGCTGGAGCTGCTGCCAGAGGGACGGGGACGTTTTCCACGGGAGTGGAAATCAGTGGAATGGAAAGTGAAGACGGATGAAGGAAAATGGAAACGCATCCTGACGGCCTGGAAGGATGGACGTGTCTCCTACACCGGCGGTTCTTTTCCTGGGAGAGTTGTTTTCCAGCCAGACACCCTCTCCCTGAGGATCTCCCCGGTTAGAAAGGAAGACAGGGGGGTCTATAAGGTCGAGTTTGAGGATCCATCAGGCACTGTCACCCATCTGTCCTTCTGTGTGTCGGTGTGGGGTGAGTGGTTGCGTCCCCATCCCCCCATCCCTCTGTCCTTCGATCCCCCCTGTCCCTTCTCACCCTCTCTGATCCCACAGATCCCATTCCCTGGGTGGATCTGCAGGCACAGGTTCTTCCCTGGGAGCAGGGCTGGTGCAACATCTCCCTGACCTGCAGCGTTCCTGCTCCTGGCAACGTCTCCTACAGCTGGAAGTGCAGGGGGATCCCCCCACGGCCCTGGAGCATCCCCAGCTGTTCCTGCAGGTCCCTGTGGATGCTGATCCCACCATCTGCCTCTGCAATGTGAGCAACCCCGTGAGCTGGAGCACGGCCAGCGCTGACATCGTGGCTCTCTGTCACCACTCAGGTGATTTTTTTTGGGAATCACGGAATTCCCGAGCTGGAAGGGAACCCCGAGTTCAGCTCCTGGCCCTGCACAGGACAGTGCCAAGAATCCCAGATCTCAGAGCTTCACAAGGAAAAAAAAAAGGGTATTTTCAGTGCTCAAAAACACTGGGAAAAAAATCATATAAATATATATATATATAAATATATACTTATGTATTTTATATTTATGTATTTAAGGTAAACGTATTAATTTACAGAGTTGTAGAATCATGGGATGGTTTGGGATTGGCAGGGACGCCTCCCACTGTCCCAGGTTGCTCCAACCTGGCCTTGGACACTCCCAGGGATCCAGGGGCAGCCACAGCTTCTCTGGGCAACCTGTGCCAGGCCATTCCCACCCTCCCAGGGAGGAATTCCTTCCCAATATCCCAACCAAACCTGTTCCTTGTCAGTGGGAAACCATTCCCTTGTCCTGTCACTGCGGGGTGACCCTGCCTTGGCCGGGGGGGGAGGGGTGGACAGGAGGATCTCCAGAGGTTCCCTTTCCAACCCCAGCTGTTCTGGGATTCTGTGGCTCCCCTGCAGATCTTTCCCCCCTCATCCTGTGGTCTGCAGTGACCTCGGCCATGGGACTGACCCTGCTCCTCCTGGTTGTCACCTGCTGCTGGTGGAGGAAGAGAAGGAAAAGCCCCCCAGAAGGTTTGTCCTGGGGGGGTGGGTGCAGGAATTGGTCTCTCAGGAGGAGAAACCCAACCCTGTGGGACCTGGAGGACAATTCCCATTTGGATATTCGCTTTATTCCAAGCTGCCCACAAACAAAACCTCCCAGTTGCTGAGGGACTTTTTTTTTTTCTCCCTCTGCTTTGCTTTGCTTTTCTTGAGGGCTGAACCCCCCAATCTGGGGGTTCTGATGTCTCACACTGACCCTTCAAAGCCCCCCCTGGACCCGTGGAGGAGCCATTGACCATCTACGAGGAGGTGGGAAGCGACAAAACCAGCCAAGACCCCGTGAGTGCTGGGGGGGGGGTGTGTGTCCCTGAGTGTCCCCTCCTACCTGGAATAATTCAGGTTGGAAAAGCCCTCCCAGCTCATCTAACCATCTTGGGTTGTTTGGGGTTTTGTTTTAACCACCCTGGGGGTTTTTTTCTCTCCCTCAGAACGGCACCTTTGAGGCCCCCCAGGCACCAAACACCGTGTACGCCGTGGTCTGCCCCACAACACAGGTAGGGTCAGTGCTGGGGGTCCCTCCTGGAGGGTCTGGAGCTGCCCCACAGGCTCCCTGTGAGCCCCCCATGCTGAACCCGTTTCTTCCAGCTGCCAAATCCGCTCTTTCACCCCCAAAATTTGCTTTTTTTTTTTTTGTTCATCCCAACCAGCAGGAGGACCGGCAGCAACCTGGAAGCTGCACCATCTACTCCACTGTCCAGCTCAGCAGGAGGGTGAGGCTGTCCTGGTTTCCTCCCTGACCCCATTTGTGGTGACACCAAACCCCTTTGGGTGGTGGGTTCCCCATCCCACTCCCACTCTCCCTTAACAGGAGGTTCCTCCTCTTCTCCACAGTCTCCTTCTCTCAGGAGGAAGAGGCTGGACCCAGCTTTGGTCTCCACTGCCTATTTAGAGGTAACAGATGATTCCTTGGGGAGGGGTCTCCAAATATTTTTGGGGTCTCAGTGTGCTAAATCCCACCCGTTTCCCTGCAGGATCTGGGCGGTCCCCGACCCTGGCGCCCCTCTTTGCGGACCCCACCCCCACCTCCTGCCAGTCTCCACCTCTCCTAATTCCCTGGAGATTCCCTGGAGATTCCCTGGAGATTCCCTTCCCTCTGGACCTGCTCTCCCGGAGCACCTGGAAACTCCACCCGGGGGTTTGTCCCAGAAAACTGTGCCAGAAATAGGTTTTTTTTGGGAAGGATTCCCCCCACCCCAAGCTGTGTTTTGGAGACTTTGGGATGGAAAACTGTCTCCTGGGGAGATGGAATCGGACTGGTGGGAGTGGGAGTGGAAGAGGAGGAGGGGATATGGGACCTTTTAGGTTTTTAGGGCTTGACAAGTTCGGGAATTCAGTTTTTTATTTTTTTTTAGGTGCAAACACGAGCTGAACTGCACGAGGCGCTTGTTTAATTAGCTTAATTGGCTCTTTATAGCCCGAAAGGCACCCCTGGCGCAGGGGAGGAAGCAGGAATTGCCTCGTCTGAGGCTCGGGAATGTCCGAAGGGATGGAAAGCCTGAAGGGATGGAGGTGCTCTTGGCCCTCCAGGGAGAAGGAAGGGGAAGGAAAAGGGGCTGAGGCTTCAAAGATCTTCCCGAGGGGGAAAATCAGGGGTTTTTCTTCGCCATTCAAAAGAGAGCTGGCACTTTGGTCCCCTCCCTCCCCGTCCAGCTTTGTGGCTGCGAAACGAGCGTTAATTGGGATCATTAAGGGGGTCGGGGGGGTGGGGGTCGGGAGAGGCTTTGCTGTCACAGCCGGGTTGGTTTTCCAGCACCCCGAGTTCCATCTTCGGCTTTTGCGGTGTCCTGGAAAGAGTTCAACACTTCTTGAGCCATAACATCATCTCCCTCTGCACGTGGGAGTCGGCAGCGGGGTCTGGGACACGATGGATTCAGTGGGAAAAGTTCAGGAGGGGATGGAAATTTTATTTTATTTTAATGTTATTTTAATTAAACTGGATCAGGGCTCAGGCTTTTTAAATTTCATTTTTATTTTTAAAATTATTTTTTATGATATTTTATTTTTTTATTTTTGAAACGATTTTAATTTAATTTAATTTTTATTTTTTATTTTAATTTTCTGGGATTAAACTGTGCCAAGCCTCGGGCTCTTTTATTTTGTTTTATTTTATATTATTTTATTATATTATTTTATTTTATTTTATATTTTATTTTATTTTATATTTTATTTTATTTTATATTTTATTTTATTTTTTTTTTTATATTTTATTTTATTTTATTTTTTAAACTCTTTTACCTTTATTTTATTTTAATTTTCGTGTCATTTTTATTTTTTTAATGAATTTTTTTGTAATTTTTTTTTAGATTATTTTTATTTTATTTTTCATTTTATCTCTATTTTCATTTCCTGGGATTAAAGTGGGTCAGAGCTCAGCGGGCGCCCTTTGTTCTCCTGTCGGTGCGTGGGAAGCCACCAGAGGCCATTTGCCCATCATTAATCACCATTAATTACTATTAATTAAAACCAGGGGCCATTTTTCCCCCCTTGAGGGAGCCCCTGAGGCTGGAAAAGCCCTCGAAGGTCACCGAGTCCACCCCATGTCCCCATCCCCACCTCATCACTCAGTGCCACCTCCAGGGCTGGGGACTCCAAACCTCCCTGGGCAGGCCCTGCCAAGGCCTCACCACCCTTTCCATGGGGAAATTCCTGCTGATGCCCAACCTGACCCTGTCCTGGTGCCACCTGAGGCTCAGACATCGGCCCTGGGTGTGTGGAAATGGGAACCCTGGGTGGGATCTGTGTCCCATTTACCACTGGGATGATTTTGGGGTGGCTGCAGTGGGCAGGTTGGTGCTCCATGAGGGGCTCTGTGAGGTGTCCCCCCGGTGTGGAAGGGGGGAATTCAGGGTTGCTGCCTGTTCCCAAGGGTCCCACGAGGCGGCATCAACGCCCCAAAGTCTGGGGTTCCTCAAGGCCTCCTGGGCGGGTGATTTCCCGCCAGCGCTGCAGGAGGAACTGTGTGAGCTGAGCGTTACTAAAGGGGCTCTCCCCGACGGGATTCTCCTGTCCTGCAGAGCCCCCCAGCCCCACATTTGGGGACAGTGGCAAGGGGGGCTGCAGGATCTGGTAAGGGGGGGGGATTCCTCGCTGGGAATCTGCCCAGACAGGAGGGATTTGCACCCCTGGGTTTGGGTGAGAACCCCGAGAGAAGCGGGGAGAGAAGATGGCGCTGGGGCTGATTGTGAACCTCGTCCTGCTCCTCGTCATCGTCCCTCCAGGTACGGCAGCGGGGCGAGGGTGTGGGGCTGGCTTGGCTTTGGGGATGGTGGGGGACACTGGGGGACCCTGGGGATGTGCTGGGGTGAACCCTAACCCTGTCCCCACTGTCCCTCCCCCCCACTGTCCCCATCCGGGTGCTGCTCCTGAGGGGTGACCCCCTCGGCTCCCCCCAAGCCACCACCACTCTGGGGGTGAAGCAGCTCTGGGGGGGAGCCTGGAGAAGATCCCAAAAAGTGAAAGTGAAGAAAAAGAAATCTCCTCCTCGAGGGGAAGGGGGGGGGTTCTGGGTGGATGAGGGTGGAAATCCTGTTTGTGGAAGGGCACGGAAGGTGTCAGGAAATCGGAAGCAAAGAGGGTCATTCGCTTTTCCCACGGAGGGGAGGGGTGGGAATGGAACCAGTTAAACCAGTTACACCGGTTCCACTGGGGAATGGAACCAGTGAAACCTGTTACACCAGTTCCATTGGGGAATTAAACCAGCTCCTGGGGAATGGAACCAGCTAAACCAGTTGCACCAGCTCCACTGGGGAATTAAACCAGCTCCTGGGGAATGGAACCAGCTAAACCAGTTGCACCAGCTCCACTGGGGAATTAAACCATTTCTTGGGGAATGGAACCAGTCAAACCTGTTGCACCAGTTCCATTGGGGAATTAAACCATTTCCATTGGAGAATGGAACCTGTTAAACCAGTTGCACCAGTTCCCTTGGGGAATGGAACCAGTTCCAGTAATTCCATGGGGAATGGGAGCAGTTCCATGGGGAATGGGAGCAATTCCAGCAATTCCATGGGGAATGGGAGCAGTTCCAGCAGTTCCACTGAGAATGGGAGCAGTTCCATTGAGAATGGGAGCAATTCCAGCAACTCCATGGGGAATGGGAGCAATTCCAGCAATTCCATGGGGAATGGAACCATTTCCAGCAGTTCCATTGGGAACAGGAGCAGTTCCAGCAGTTCCACCGGGAATGGGAGCAGCGTGGGAGGAGCTCCCAGAGCTGGGGGTGTCCCAGCAGCACCACCCTGGTGTTTTTGGCAGCCTGGGCACAGTGTGGTGCCCACAGCGAAGCCGTGGCAGGCGCCGTGGGCGGCGTCGTCTGCCTGAGCCCCAGCCCGGCCCACCAGAGGAGCTACTCCCGGATCCACTGGCGGCTCAACGACACCAGGAAGCTGGCCAGCTGGAGCCCCCAGGAGAAGTTCCAGTACCCCAACAGCACCTCCAGGCACCGCCTGGAGCTCTTCGCCAACTTCTCGCTGCGGATCAGCCGCCTGCAGAAAGGCGACAGCGGCGAGTACCACCTGTACCTGGAGGATGACACGGGCAAGGAGGACCGGGACAGGGTCACCCTGACGGTGTACGGTGAGCTGGAGGAGGGCAGGGTCGTCCCACGGGGTGGGGATGGGGTGGTGACCTCCCTGCCTCCCCTGGCAGACGCGGTGCCCAAGCCCCGGGTGACGGTGACGGTGACCAAGGGCGACCAAGAGCACTGCAACGCCACCCTCGAGTGCTCCGTGGGGCTCCAGGAGGTGACCTACGAGTGGATCCCCCCCCGGCAGGTCCTGCTGGAGGGTGGGGAGGGCCCTGTTCAGAAAGTCTCCTTCAACCCCTCGGAAGGCACCTACGTCTGCAGGGTCAGCAACCCGGCCTCCTCCAACAACGCCTCGCTGACCTACAGGCACCCCTGCTCCTGGACAGGTAGGAGGGGCCAGAGCTGCCCTGTGGGGTGGGCTGGGAGGTGGCCTTGGCTTTGGAGGGGCCCCAGAGTAGCTTTGGGGGGACACTGAGGTTGGGAAAGACCTCCAGGATCATCGAGTCCACCCCCTGCCCCATCCACACCGAGGGCCATGTCCAGTCCTTCCTTGGATGCCTCCGGGGTGGGGACTCCAAACCTCCCTGGGCAGCCCCTGCCAAGGCCTCACCACCCTTTCCAGGAGGAAATTCCTCCTCATGGCCAACCTGAGCCTCCCCTGGCACAGCTTGAGGCCGTTCCCTCTCCTCCTGTCACTGGTTGTGTGGGACAAGAGAAGAGCCCGACCCCCAAGGGGGTGGTCCCTGCAATCCCTTGGATCAGGAGCTGTGGGACCATTTCCCCCCAGCACTGTGGGCTGGTGGGGGGGGGGGCAGGAGCCCACCTGGAGAAGGGATCAGGGACTGGGATCACTCCAGATCCCTCCCCCTACCCCTGGTCTCCCTCTGCCTCCAGCTGAATCCTTTTCTGACGCATCCTGCACCTGCCACCGGCGGGCTGGTGTTCCTGGGGCACCTCCTCCTGCTCTTCTTCCACCTGGCTCTGGCCTGAGGACGCTGCAGTCAACATCTGCCCTCGCCTCCTCACCCCCCACCACGTCACCAGCAGCTGGATGGGGCTCCCAGACCTCGTGGGTGCAGAGAGAAGTGGCTGCTGGAGGAGATGATTTCCACCTAATCCCTCCCTCCGTGGGTTCACCAGGAAATCCTCCTCTCCTTCACCCCGTGGGACCAGTGGGGCCACCCAGCCTGAGCCTTTCCAAGGGCTCTCTGGATATTTTGGGCATTCTCTGTTTTTCAGGACAAGGGGGCAGAGCCAAGGGGGCACCTCTGGCTTTCCCTCTGGGTTTGAGGACAAATATCTGTTTATACATTAAATTTTTACGCAAACACCACGTTTTTAGGTGCCTGTTCTGGGGGTCGTTTGAACATCAATATTTATTTTTGCAGAGGTCCTCCCCCCCCCCCTTCCTTGAAAATATTTTCTTGGGTCCTGATCCATTCCCACGTGGAAGTTTGGGGCTCATCTGCCTCTTAAAAGACCCAAGATGTCCCTAAAACCTCCTGCAATGAATAAACACAGAGCCTGGTGCTGCACCTCAGCCAAATTCCCAACCAGGAGATCTCAGGCTGAGCTTTTGGATAAGGGAAAGGAGTTTTCCTCGGGAAGGGCTTTGCTGGGTTCTTCCCCCGCTGCGAACTGCTGATTATTGGGAAGTGGCCGCTCTCTGGGTGGGAGGAGGGGCCTCACAGGATGCCCCCAGGGGCGGTTTCGGGTGGTTTTTACCGTCAGAAATAATTCTGCTGACGGCAAAACTCGCCGAAGACTCAGTGATGCTTCGCTGTGTGAATTCCTGCTGCTCCCACCTCCAAAAAAAAAAAAAAAAACGGGGAAAGCAACGAAACTGGGAGAAACCCAAAGGCAAAAGCCCTTCCCTCGATCCCGACAGCAGGGGATGATTCCCTCTGCCAGGGGAGAGTTTTCCAAGACCACCTCCTCCTCCTTCTCCTCCTGGCTGAGGATCCCACAAAGCCCCAAGCGGGTCAATCCCAGGATATTTGGGGCTTTCCCACGGGTGAGAACCAACCCCTCTGGGTGGGCACCGAGGTGGTCCCACCCCCTGGGCGGACGAAGCAGCGTTTGAGGATGCCGAGGGGTCCTCCTGCCGCTTCTTTTAGTATCTTTTCAAAGGTTCCAGCGCCGGGAAGAAGCCGCAGCAAGACGAAGGAATTATTTCCTCACAGGTTATTTCTTCTTCTTTTTTTTTTTTTTTTGAGCTGAGGACCCTCGGCTGGAGGATGAGGTTTTGTTGCAAGAATAAACCGAGGCTCCGCTTCCCCCTGCAGGTCTCTGGGGTCGTTTCTGCCGAACCGCGAGCCGGCGCTTTGAATACTTTCCGATTCAGAAACGAAAGGCAGATTAAAAAAAAAAAAACCATCAAAAACCACCACTAAAAAAAAAAAAAAAAAAGAGCCGTATTCAGCCCCAAATAAACAGGAAACTCATGGCCCACGAGAGCGGCGCTGATTCGAGGGCACCTGTTCCCGTAAGGACAGCCGGCAGCTGATTTTTAACCCCGGCCAGGCAGAGGCTCCCGGACTTCCCAGCATGGGCTGCTCGTCATCGTCATCGCTGCTGCCTTTGCTCATCGCCCTGGGGGCTGCTTGGGGTTCGTGCCTCCCTGAAACGCTCGGTTTGGGCTCTTTGGGGGTGTTTTCTTTTTGGTTGTGATGCTCAGTTTGGGTTGTTTGGGGATGTTTTTGGTTGTGATGCTTAGTTTGGATTATTTAGGGGGTATTTTTTTTGTGATGCTCATTTTGGGTTGTTTGGAAGTAGTTTTTGGTTGTGATGCTCAGTTTGGATTATTTAGGGGGATATTCTTTTTTGTGATGCTCATTTTGGGTTGTTTGGGATTGTTTTGGTTGTGATGCTCAGTTTGGATTATTTGGGGTATTCTTTGTGATGCTCAATTTGGGTTGTTTGGGAGTATTTTTGATTGTGATGCTCAGTTTGGATTATTTGGGGGATATTCTTTTTTGTGATGCTCATTTTGGGTTGTTTGGGGGTGTTTTTGGTTGTGATGCTCAGTTTGGATTATTTGGGGGGTATTCTTTTTTGTGATGCTCATTTTGGGTTGTTTGGGAGTAGTTTTTGGTTGTGATGCTCAGTTTGGGTTGTTTGGGGATATTTTTTGTTGTGATGCTCAGTTTGGGTTGTTTGGTAGTATTTTTATATTGTAATACTCAGTTTGGATTATTTAGGGGTATTCTTTTTTTTTTTAAATGCTCAGTTTAGGTTGTTTGGGGATATTTTTGGTTGTGATGCTCAGTTTGGGTTGCTGGGAGGTGCTACCCCAGGGATAAAATCATGGAATATTTTGGGTTGGAAGGACCTTAGGGATGATCTGGTTCCAACCACCTGCCTTGGGCAGGGCCACCTGCCATCAGAATGGGAGCAGTGCCCATTTTCTGGGTGCCTGGAGAGCTCTGATCAGCTCAGGGGGATCTCCTGGAAGAGTCAAAATCCCTCCCAGGCCTGTCCAGGCTCCTGGGTCGTCCCCTCCAAGCCCACCAGTGGAAGATGCTGCAGGACAGGTGGCTGTGGGGTTACCTGGGCCTCCCCAGGGCCATTCTGGGGTAATTCCCCCTCTTTTCTTTTCCACCCTGATGGAAAGAAGGCGGTAGGAAAGGTGGGGGTGGCACCCTGGGGTCCCTTCTGCGCTCCCACCGCTGGTGGCTGAGGTGGCACCTCCTCCCACGCTCTTTTTCCTACAAAAACAGATTGTTTGCCCAAGGATGGAGAGGCAAATCTGAGTCACTTGGCTTGAATGAAACACAGCAAAGAGTTTGGGAGGGTTGGGATGGGGGGGGAGAAGATCCTCCCCTGTGCTGCCCTGGAAATCCCTGAAACCCCCCTGGGACCATCCAGGAGAGGGATAGAGTGGGATTTATATCAAACCACTCCAGAGGAGCTGAGCAGGGGGATGGAGCAGCTCTGATCCATCAGAAAAGCTGGAGAGTTGGGATTGTTCAGCCTGGAGAAGAGAAGCTTTGGGAGTGACCTGACTGGGGCCTTCCAGGACCTGAAGGGGCTACAAGGGATGTGGGGAGAGACTTTGGAGAAGGGACGGAGGGGACAGGACGAGGGGGTGGGTTCAGACTGACAGAGAGGAGGTTTGGATGGATATTGGGAAGGAATTCCTGGCTGTGAGGGTGGGGAGGGCCTGGCACAGGTTGCCCAGAGAAGCTGTGGCTGCCCCTGGATCCCTGGGAATGTCCAAGGTCAGGTTGGAGCAACCAAAGCACCCCGTGCTGCTGTGAATTTGAGGGAGATGCAAATCAGACTCTGCGAGCTCTGGGAAGGGGAGGGTGGGGAGGAAGAGCAGAGGGGAGGCAGAGCTTCCTCTCAGAGTTCAGGATGTGGGGTTGAGGGTGGGGTGGGGGTCTCTCCTTTGGTTCTGAGGGCCTGTGGGGTGGGCAGGGGGGCAGAGCTCAGGGTGGGGAACAGTTGGATTGGTGTTGTCACCCACGGGCAGGAGGTGGGGGAGGACCCTGGGGATGCAGTTCAAGAATCTGCTGCATCTTCAACTGGCTTATCTCGTGCAACCCAGGCTGGCCCAGCCCGGGGATTACCAGGGTGGGTCTGGTGACACTTCTGGCTTGATTCCTTGAGGATTCTGGAGGATTCTCCCTCCTCTGGCAGAGCTGGGATAGGGAGGGGGATGGTTGGGGTGAAGCTCCCTCTGCCTCAGCCCTTCTCCCCACCCTCCTCCCAGGAATGGACCACGGGGAGAGTGAGACAGTGCTGGGCACCCTGGGGAAGGCAACGATCCTGAGGATCCCTCCCAGGCTCCGCAACCTCACCCTGGACTTCAGGGAAGCCTTTTGGAAACGGGGGGGGCCTCACAAGAAGCAAGTCCTGGTCAAGTACTCGGGGGGCAAGCCCACCAACCACTTCCAGGGGCAGATACTCTTCCACGAGTCCGACTTTTCCCTGGAAATCCTCAACACCAGCCGGCAGGACGGGCAGATTTACGAGTACAGCGTGAGCACAGGGCGGGAGGAGGAGGCGCAGCAGATCCAGCTGAAGGTCTACGGTGAGAGGAACATTCCGGGTTCTCCTGGCCTGGGGGCAGGTCTGGGAGGTGGGAGGGTGGTAAATGCTCATCCTGATGAGGTAACCCCCTCTCTCCAGAGCCGGTGTCCCATCCCAGCATCCGCATCGTCAGCAGGGAAGTCGCCAACGGGAGCTGCAGCATCGCCCTCAACTGCACGGCGGAGAGAGGGGATGACGTTTCCTACAGCTGGGGCAGCCAGGACAGCAGGACCTGGGGGCCCTGCTCTGGGAACAGCAGCTTCCTGCACCTCTCCTACCCCCCGTGGAACACGAGCTCCTCCTGCGTCTGCACCGCCACCAACCCCGTCAGCAGCCGGGCCGTCACCTTCCACCCCTCCGAGTGCAGCCACGAGCCGGGGGGTAGGTCCCAGAATCCCAGAATCCCAGAATCTCAGAGCAGCTGGGGCTGGAAGGGACCTCTGGAGGTCACCCAGGGCGTGGCAGGGTCACCCAGAGTGGGTGACACGGCCGGGTGGGGTCGGGATGTCTCTTGGGAGATGTTTGGATGGATGGGTGAGATGAGATCCCCCCTCCTCGGGTGAGGGGTTTGTAGGGATGGTTGAGAGATTTGTAGGGATGGTTGAGAGATTTGGATGGATTGGTGAGAGTCCCCCCCTTCCCCCAAGCTCAGATGAGAGATTTCTATGGATATTTGAGAGATTTCTGTGGATTCCTGAGATTCCCCTCTGGGGTTAGATATTTGTGTGGATATCTGAGGTATTAGCACGGATTGATGACATCCCCTCTCAGTCTTCTCCAGGCCAAACAGGCCCCCACTTCCCAACCCAGCTCTCTGCAGCCTCCCAGCCCTGCAGGGCACTTTTGTCTCTCCATTTTATTCCCCATCAAAAGTCCATTTTTTACAAGAAAATCAGCCCCTGCACCACCTGCTTGGGCTCCCCATAAACACCGACCCGGGGACTGCAGGTCCCACCTCCCTCTCCAGCCAGCCCAGCCCCTGCCCTTTCCACGCCCTGCTGCTCCAGGCTCGCTTTAGAGGCCTGAAACTCCTCCCAGGTGGTTTGGGGAGGATAAAACCCTCGGTGAGAACTTCCCCTTTGGAGGCTTTTGGGGCAAAAGTCCCGTTCTTGCTCAGTGGGTTTTTTTTTTTTTTTTCAGCTTTTTCTTGTGACCAGAGTGGGGGGAATTTTTCTGGGGGGTTGAGTGAGGTGGGGGCTGCCCCTTCCCCCAGGGACACTGAGGTGAAGTCCCACCTCTGATGGGACTCTTGCTGTGACCTGTGCCGGGAAAACGTCCCCGTGGGAAAAGCTCTGGGGGATTCTCGCTTAGGAAAAGCAGAGACTGAAATGAGATGCCCCAGAGGGGGTTTAACTTGTTTCTCACCCCCTTTTCCCCCCAAAAAACCGACTCACATTGTGTGCCACCCCTGTGTGAGGTCACTGGAGCTGGGACAGAGGGGCTGCCTCCCTGCCAGGCTCCAGAAGGCCACCAGAGATGTCTTTAGGGCTTTATCTGGCCCCAAACTGTCCCTCCTCTGAGGTGGCAGAGTGGTGATAAAGCCACAGAGTCATCTTTGGGGCTTTGTCTGGCCCCCATCCACGCCCTCAGCAGGTTTTTAACTGCCTGGTGCAGCCTCGAGCTGATTAAAAAGAGAGAGAGAGCTCAGCTCAATCATTTCCCACCTCGTTTCCTGTTCTGCCTAAACCAGCCCCAAAACCAGCGGCTTCTGCAGCTCCTCCTGCTCGGCTCTGGGGTGACCTGGGCCCTCCTTCCCCTCTCTGCTCCCCATCCCAGGCAGTGCCAGGCTGAGGTTGGAGCTCCTCGTGCTGCTGCTGGTGGTGCCCGTCGCAGTCGTCATCGTCATCCTCTTCCTGGGGGTCTTCAGGACCCCCCGTCCGGCCCTGCCCCGTGGTGAGGGGGGTCAGGGGTGGGTGGTGGGCTGGGCTGGGTCTGTGTGTGTGCGTTTGTGGGGTCTGTGGGTGCACCAGGGACCAAGGATTGCCGTGGGCACCTTGTGGGTCACAGAATCGTGGATGAAAAGACCTCCGAGGGAGGGGGGAGTCCCCACCCCGTGGGGGTGTCCAGGGAAGGCCTGGCCATGGCACTGAGTGCTCTGGGCTGGGGGGGGGACAAGGTAGGGATGGGGTGCAGGTGATCCCAGAGGTCTTTTCCAACCTGAATCATCCTGTGATCCCTCCCCCCACAGCTGACCAGGAGCCCACGCAGGACCGTGCCGAGCACACCATCTACTCTCAGGTGCAGAGGGTGGAGGTGAGGCACGACCAGCCCGACCCCCGATGAAGGGGAAGGGGAAAAAAAAGGGTGTCCTTCAGCATTCGAAACGCTCCTTTGGTGCTTTAGACCCCCAGTGCTGCAGTGGTGGTGGGGGGAGCGTGGGCACGGTCGTGGTCGGTGCCTCCTCCGTGGGTGGCAACCTCCGTGTCGTGCTTTGGCCACTGGGTGTCAACGCAGCCCCGCGGCTGAGGATGGGAGGAGGGCAGGGTCACCCAACCCCGCGTGTGCCGGGAGTCACCCTTAATTTGGGAATCGCCGGGAATAAACTCGGGCGCTGCAGCCTCCTTGAGCCCCCCGCCACCCCCAGCGCGCTCCAGGGTGGCTTTGGGGACACTCTGGGCTGTTTCCCTCCTTTCCCCTATTCCTCTTAAACCAAAACTGAGCGGGAAACGGCGGGAGGAGGGAGGGAAGGACTCGCCTCTCACTGCTCGCCCTTTGTCCAACCCCTGCAGAAGCCAAAAGAGCCCCGCACCGCCGACCCCCCCTCCTGCACCACCATCTACGCTGCAGCCACTGGCCCCCCCGCGGCCCCTGGCAGAGCCCCCCACGCCCCTCCAGAGCCCCCCACCCTGCAGGGACACCCCCCCCTCTCCCAGGTAAGGCTGGCTGCCCCTCACCCTGGCTGGGCATCACACCCTGGCACCTCACTGAGCTCTTTGCCCCCCCTGAATCTTCGCTGCAGAGCCCCCCCCAGGAGCCCACGACGGTTTATGTTGGTGTGATGATGCCCAGGGCCTGAGCCTCTCTTGGGGCAGTGGGCAGCTGCACCAGCCTGGCTGATGGGCACCAAAATCCACTTTCCTGGCTGGATTCACCTGCTCATCCCTGAGGAATCCACACAAGCCCCTCCGGTGGGAGCAGCTCGGAGGTGCCCGGAGAAGGGAGGGATGACCGAGCAAAGAGCATGGCAAGAAACCTCCTCTGCCTACGACTGGAGGCTCCTGGCTGGATCCTGGAGCACTGGGAGAAGGGAGAGGGACTCTGGATCCCACCTCACAGCTGGATGTGAGAGGAGGGAGTGACTCGGAGGGGAAGGATCAGCAGCACCGGGAAGGGTGGCTGGAGAAATTTTGGGCTCCGACCTCACCCCTGCCCTGTGGGCTTCCCACACCAGGAACTCATCCCCACGGTCCTGCTTTCCTAAGGGCCTGTGGCAGCTGGGGACACACAGGGGGCAGGGGTTCAGCAGGGGGAAAATGAGAAGTGGTTTTATTTCTGAGCTCTGCAACAGGTTACAAAAACTTTCGGTTTTGTCCCGAGGAGCGAGGAGGGTTTTGGAGCCCCTCCAGGCTGGCCAGCCCCTGTCCCACTGCATTTTCCCACCCTCATTTTCCCCACTGATCTCTGTGGGAACAGCTGAGCTTCTCCAAATGGACTTGAAGCTGAATTTCTGGCTGTGGGGCAGAGGAGGAGGCAGCCCCTGCTCGTGGCCCGGCCAACCCCTGCCCGCAGCAACTCTCGGTTCCCCGTGGAAATATCCTGTGTGGGGATGGTGGAGGTGGCCTGGATGGGGGAGCAGGGCTGTAAAATCCAACTGACCCACTCTGGGGTGTTTTAATAATCCCAGCACAACTCAGCTGTTACAGCAGGTCTGACTGCGTGGGCCACGGCTAAGGGAAAGGAGAATAAATTTGGAATAAAGCCCTTTGCAAGGGGTTGCTGGTGAGGATGGTCACAAGGTGGATCCACTGCTGAGGTGGAACAGGAACCAATGGTTTTGCACCTCCCCAACTTCCCTCTCCTGTGCCCACTGAGCTTCCTCCCTGGAAATGTCTGCAAACCACCAGTTCCCCCAGCGTGAGGGCAGGTCCAGAGCAGGGCAGGGCCACCCTCACCCTTGTGCCTCTCAGATGGTGTAAAAGCCCCAAATTCTGTCAGGGTGGAGCCCTGGGGCTGCCCAGGGAGGTGGGGGAGTACCCACCCTTGGAGGTGCCCAAGGAAGGCATGGCCATGGCACTGAGCGCTCTGGGCTGGGGGCCAAGGTGGGGATGGGGCACAGGGCAGACTGGATGACCTTGGAGGCCTTTTCCAACCTCAGGGATTCTGGGATTATTGGCTGGACAAGAGGCTCTGAGTCAAGCTCCTCGCTTGTCCCTGCAGTAGAACACCAAGAAAACCGCTGCGAGTGCAGCGGCTTCGCTCACAGCCACGGCCCCGATCCTGACCAGGCTGCTGGAACCGGTGCCTGCAGGGAGAGAAGAAGGCCCAGTAACAACGTCCCCAAACAGATCTGCCTCTTCCTGGCACTGAGAGAGAGGGAACCTGGCCCATCTCTACCCCAAAACCCCCTGAGCCCTCGTTGGGACAACTCGGCCCAACCCGGCGAGGAGGCGGCGCTGCACGAGGACGAGCGGCTTGGCAGAAGCAGCAGCAGGAGACTCCCAGCCCAGCCCCTCACGGCCACGGCCACCCCCCATGGCCCTTGGCCCTCCAGGGACCTCCTGGAGGGGGTTTTGGGGATGAAATCCCCTGTTGGGTGGGGGTGCCCAGCGAGCCACGCTCCCACCTGCACTCCGCCCTTGGCTCTGTAGCACTGATGGATTCCCTGCTCCCATCCCAAAGCAGGATTTTTGGGGGACACCTGCTCTCCCTGAATCCCCTGGGGGACACAGATGGCACGTGGATGCTGAGGGCACTGCCCAGAAAGCCTGAAGGGAGGAGATGGACCGTGCTGCTCTCAGCACCTCCATCTGCCCCTCCTCGGGGCAGGGACCGCGCTGGTGCCCATCTGCCCCGCTGCCAAGCGCAGGACCCTGTGAGAGCCGGCCCTGCAGAGCTGTCTGGGGCACACGGGGACACCGAGGAGCGAGGCTGGGCACACACAGGGGGGGTGGCAGCTCACCCATGGGGGGAGGCCGGGTTGTGTTTTCTGACCAGAAAGAGGGGAGAGAACAGGGAGAGAGGTCAGTGCCAGTGCCAGGGGTGCCACCGCTCTCTGCACAGCCCAGGGGCAAAGCTGGAGCCTCGGGGAGCATCACCCAGCCCACGCCAGCCCCCGGCCGGGCCCTTTTGGGGGGCTCTTACCTGCGCACAGCTCAGCGGGCCGGACGGTGACGTTGCGGCTGCTGACGGGGTTTCGTGCCCAGCACGTCAGCGGCACCGACTCCTCCACCAGCACCGTGGGCCCCTCTCCCCGGGGCTGCTCCCCCACGCTCCAGCCGTAGGACACGTTCCCCAGCCCGGGGGAATGGTCCCCGGCCCCGGGCAGGGCGCAGCGCAGGCCGTAGCGGCAGCCGCCGGCCGAGCAGTTCTGGGCCTCGCAGCTCACCCTGGGCTCTGCCAGCTCGCCTGGGGGCAGGGCAGGGGCTGTCAGCAAACACTTGGAACATCACAAACCAACCCAAAAATCAAGGCTAAATGGCACCTACTGTACACGTGGAGGGTGAAGGTGGATTTTGCCTGCGGGTTCTGTGCAGAGTAGGTCCCAGCGTCCTCCATCGTGAGCTGGGAGATGGTGAGGGCCCTGCCCTGCTCCGAGATGGTCAAGCGTGTCTTGTATTTGTTGTCTAAAAACAGGGCTTTTGGAAGTTCATCAAAATCCACAACCACTATGGGTGATCTGCCAAAGCTCCAGGAGGCTGCATCTCCAGCCAGATTGTGGATGTGGAAGGTGACGGACCCACCCACGGCTCCAATCACCTCTGTCGCGGTGCCATTGCCCGCTGTGGAGAGAAGTTGGGCTGAAGGTGCTGTGCCAGGGGGAGGAGGCACAGCAAGGGTGGGGGGATGTTTGAGGAGCAGGCAGGAGGGGTCGGGGTTAAAGGGGAGCATTTTGCACTCACTTGCTCGGTGGAGGAGGAAGAGGAGGGCGAGGAGCGGGAACTGAAACGCGTCCATCGGCGTCTGGTGGGCGGAGAGGGTTTGTCTGCCCTCAGCAACTGCTGGTCTGGAGGCTGATCCTGGTGCAAGAGGAAGACACGAGTGGGTGCACACAGTGGGTTTCACTGGTGGTTGGAGGGGCGGAGAGAACCCTGAGCTTCCTCCTGGTGTCACTGTCACTGCGGCCTCGGGTGGTGACACTCGGAAAGCAACATCATGGGGGGACAATCTCACCCCCACAAAGGAAACTCGAGCTGAAAAACTCCCAGTTCCATGCAAAGAAAAGCTGGGACAAAGAACATCGTCGTGGCTGTGCGTGACAAGTGTCCCAAATCCTCCATGGGCACCAGCCTGAAGAGATGGTTCTCGTGGAGAACGTGGTGGGTCAATGCCCAGGAGCCCATGGGCTGGTGTCACCAGGGTGTGCTGTCACTGGTGTCCCTCGGGAGTGCTGCTGGGTCCCAACCATGGAATGGTTTGGGTTGGAAGGGGCTGTAAAGCTCATCCAGTCCCACCCCCTGCCCTGGGCAGGGACACTTCCCGCTGTCCCAGGTTGCTCCAAGCCCCGTCCAACCTGGCCTTGGACACTTCCAGGGATCCAGGGGCAGCCACAGCTTCTCTTCTCCAGGCTGAACTCCCATGGGGACAGTCCCCTCCGACCCCCCCAGACAGGAGAGCTGACTGAGAACTGGAAGGGAAAGCAGCGCTTCCCTAATTCTTGTTATTCTGGGAAGTCACATGATTACTGAAATCCAGGCAAATGAGAAGTGCACTGGACCAGCTGGAGAGGTCAGGCATTAAAACAGCCCTGGGTCCTCTTCCCCAGTGAGGATATCGGGCCTGATGGCACCTCCCAGGGACTGGCATTGTGGTTGAATTCCACTGAACTAAACCCAGCTCCCTTCTTCCCCCATACCCTGGAGGAATAATTGAATCGTGGAATGGTTTGATTTGGAAGAGATATAAAATTCACCTCGTTCAACCCCCCTACCATGGGCAGGCACACCTCCCACTAGCCCAGGTTGCTCCAATCTGGCCTTGGACACTTCCAGGGATGGGGCAGCCACAGCTTTTTTGGGCAACCTGTGCCAGGGCCTCCCCACCCCACAGCCAGGAATTCCTTCCCAATATCCCACCTAAACTTCCTGTCACTAGGAAGCCATTCCCCCTTTGTCCTGTCACTCCAGGCCCTCTCCCCCCCTGTTTCTTGTAGCTCCTTCAGGTCCTGGAAGGCCACAATTGAACCATCCCAGATGAACAATCCCAACTCTCCCAGCCTTTTCTCGTTGGAGAGCTGCTCCATCCCTCTCATCATCCTGGTGCCTCCTCTGGAGTGGCTCCACCAGCTCCAAGTCCACCCTGTGGTGAGTCCTCTCTTCCAGCTGGTCACCCCAAAGGGCTGGGACACTCATCACACACACAGTGCCACGATGATGCTCTTTCTCCCATCTGCCACCCTCGTCTTTGCCTGGAAACGGGAATTTACGAGCTCGATCTTTCCGCTATGGAGGTGGGATCGTCCCGCCCCGACGTTTCGCCCCGTCCAGGTGTCACGACAGCACGACGGCAGTCACGGGGCCACCATCACAGCTTTCTCCACCCATCTGCAGCTGCTGAAACCCCGTGTGTGCTCACAGGCTCCCTCGCCTTCCGCTCGCCGGCACGACCCGCTGCAGATGGTGGGTGCAGACAACGCTCCGCGCGCAGGAGGCCGATGCCGATGGACGCCTTTCAGTTCCTCTTTCTCGCCTCCCTCGTCCTCCTCCACCGGGCAAGTAAGTGCAGGGATGCTCCTTTTGCCGTGGAAGCAGCAGGGAAGGAGCTCAGGGGGATGCCCGTGAGAGTGGGGATGTGAGGGAGCAAGGATGGAGTTTGTCCCAGCGGTGTTGGGCAAACCAAGGGGGGAAAAGTGCCTCGGGTTCTGGCTCTGATGTGGTCCCTGCTGATGAGTGAGTGTGTCAGGTCTCAGCTCTGGCCCAGCCTCCATCCAGCTGCTGCCAGATGTGCACGGTCCACCCTGCTCTGCGTTCAGGTTCTGCTCCCCTACACGTTGCCCTCTTTGGTGCTCGCAGGGAATTATTTTGTGGTGTTTCTGCCTCTCTTCAGCTGAGGGCAAACGGGCAGAGAGGCTGCCCTGGCCCCTTCCCTCAGCCTCTGGTATCTTTATTATCAGCTGGTCCACAGATTTCCTGCAGGTTTATCATCCCCACCAGCCTTTTCCTTTACCATGGTTGGTTGTCTATGCCCCAAAGGGCCAGGCTGAGGGAACCAGAACTGCTGAGCCTGGGGGGACGTGACAGCCTCGGGATCTGGTGGGACAGCTGAGCCAGGCTCAGTTCCCCTTTCCATTCCCAGCCCAGACTGGGAAGTGCTGAGTTTTTAGGTGGAAAACAGGCAAAATAATGAGGGAAATGCCTTCCTCCTTGAGTTCGCCCTCCAAGCTGTGTGGTGTGGTCAGAGGCTGCAGGGAAGGGATGGATCCAGAGGGACCTTATCCTGGGCTGCATCCAAAGGATTGTGGCCAGCAGGTCATAGGAGAGGATTCTCCTCCTCTACTCTGGTGAGATCCCACCTGGAGCAGTGTCCAGCTTTGAGAAACAGATGAAAAGGATGTGGAACTGTTGGAGAAAGTACAGGGGGGGCCATGAAGTTGGGACTGGAGCATCTCCCATGTGGAGACAGGCTGGGACAGGTGGGAATGGTCAGGCTGGAGAAGAGCAGCTGGGAATGTCCAAGGCCAGGTTGGATGGGGCTTGGAGCAGCCTGGTTTAGTGGAAGGTGTCCCTGCCCATGGCAGGAGGATGGAACAAGACGATCTTTAAGGTCCCTTCCAACCCAAACCATTCCATGATTCCAGGTTTCTCCTCCAAGGGAGGGAGGAGCAGCTGCTCATCTGACTGACATGTGGCTCCTTGCCCTGCTCACATTGGTGAGCTCAGCCTGTGGTGGTCAAAATGAATCTACCTGACCTTTCCAAGCCATTGCAAACTCCTCCTTGTACTTTCCAGCCCCAGGCTTTGACCTCCTCCACACCCTTTGCGTGTGGGCGTTGAAAGGCTCTGTTTGACCTCACGCTGTGTGACCGCAGCCCAGGACCCTTCCCTGAGCATTTCTGCCTTCTCCTCAACATCCCCCAACCCTTGTTGTACCTCCTCCCCCTGGCACAGCACCTTCAGCCCAATTTCTCTCCACAGTGGGTGATGACTCCGAGACAGAGGTGATTGGAGCCGTGGGTGGGTCCGTCACCTTCCACATCCACGATCTGGCTGGAGATGCAGCCTTCTGGCACTTTGGCAATGTACCCATAGTGACTGTGGAATTCAGTGAACCTCCTGTAACCGTGTTTTCAGACAACAAATACAAGACACGCTTGACCATCTCGGAGCAGGGCAGGGCCCTCACCATCTCCCAGCTCACGATGGAGGACGCTGGGACCTACTCTGCACTGAACCCGAAGGCAAAATCCACCTTCACCCTCCACGTGTACAGTAGGTGCCATTTAGCCTTGATTTTTGGGTTGGTTTTTGATGTTCCAAGTGTTTGCTGACAGCCCCTGCCCTGCCCCCAGGCGAGCTGGCAGAGCCCAGGGTGAGCTGCGAGGCCCAGAACTGCTCGGCCGGCGGCTGCCGCTACGGCCTGCGCTGCGCCCTGCCCGGGGCCGGGGACCATTCCCCCGGGCTGGGGAACGTGTCCTACGGCTGGAGCGTGGGGGAGCAGCCCCGGGGAGAGGGGCCCACGGTGCTGGTGGAGGAGTCACCCCCGGAGGAGTCGGTGCCGTTGACGTGCTGGGCACGAAACCCCGTCAGCAGCCGCAACGTCACCGTCCGGCCCGCTGAGCTGTGCGCAGGTAAGAGCCCCCCAAAGGGCCTGGTCGGGGGCTGGCATGGGCTGGGTGATGCTCCCCGAGGCTCCAGCCTTGCCCCTGGGCTGTGCAGAGAGCGGTGGCATCCCCTGGCAGAGGCACTGACCTCTCTCCCTGTTCTCTCCCCTCTTTCTGGCCAGAAAACGCAACCCGGCCTCCCCCCACGGGTGAGCTGCCACCCCCCCTGTGTGTGCCCAGCCTCGCTCCTCGGTGTCCCCGTGTGCCCCAGACAGCTCTGCAGGGCCGGCTGTCACAGGGGGCAGGGGGTCAGATGGGCACCAGCACGGGCCCTGCCCCGAGGAGGGGCAGATGGAGGTGCTGAGAGCAGCACGGTCCATCTCCTCCCTTCAGGCTTTCTGGGCAGTGCCCTCAGCATCCACGTGCCATCTGTGTCCCCCGGGGGATTCAGGGAGAGCAGGTGTCCCCCAAAAATCCTGCCTTGGGATGGGAGCAGGGAATCCATCAGCGCTGCAGAGCCAAGGGCGGAGTGCAGGTGGGAGCGTGGCTCGCTGGGCACCCCCACCCAACAGGGGATTTCGTCCCCAAAACCTCCTCCAGGATGTCCCTGGAGGTCCAAGGGCCATGGGGGGTGGCCGTGGCCGTGAGGGGCTGGGCTGGGAGTCTCCTGCTGCTGCTTCTGCCAAGCCGCTCGTCCTCGTGCAGCGCCGCCTCCTTGCCGGGTTGGGCCGAGTTGTCCCGACGAGGGCTCAGGGGGGTGTTGGGGCAGAGATGGGCCAGGTTCCCTCTGCCTCAGTGCCAGGAAGAGGCAGATCTGTTTGGGGACGTTGTTACTGGGCCTTCTTCTCCCTGCAGGCACCGACTCCATCCCTCTGGCCGTGATCATCGCCCTCACGGTGACTGCAGCTGTGGCACTTTCAGCAGTCGCCTTGTTCTACTGTAGATCCAAAGGTGAGCTGAATCCCCCCTTGGAAAACCATCCCTGCAGCCCTGGCAAGCAGGAGATGGTGCCTGAGAGGGGAGGACACAGCCAGGCTGTGCCAGGGCACCTTGGGGGGTGATTTGGGGCTGCTGCTGATGGTTGCCCTGTGTCGCTTCTCCCCCAGGCTGGAGGATCTTCCATTTGTCTGCAACTGGGGCTACAGACACAGGTAGGGTTTGGGGGCTGTTCCCTCCCTCCCCCTTTTTTCCTGCTGGGAACAACCTGCTCACATTTAAGATCAGGAGGGAAATCATCCACTGCCATGGCTTGGTACTGGAGCATCCCCTGGTTTATCGTTTCCCTCATCTGAAATGAAGCTGCTGCCTCGTGCTTTTCATCTGCACGTGTCCGAGTGGGATGTCAGGGCTGGCTGCGGATGGGAACTTGGATCCAGCTCTTCCATAGGGAAACTGTGGGCAAACCCTCTCTCTGGAGCCCTCGTGGCTGTTCTCCTGCACTTCAAATGAGAAATTTTTGACCCAAAAAGGAGATTAGGAAGGATTTAAAATCCTCTCCGCTCCCCTCTGTTCCATGAGCTGGTGTTAATTCCTCCTGCAATTCTTGAAGGAGAGACAAATGCATCTTGTCCTCTGAAAACACCCAGGGATTTTTGGATTTAAATAAAACAAGCTGATTTTCTCTGTCCTTTGAGCTGGGAGTGCCCCACAGTGGCAGGGGCAGGAGGATTCTGGGATGAGGAGCAATTCCTCGATGCAGATCCACAATAAAACCTCTGAGAGGCTTCCAGGAGCTGCAGGATTGGGGTCCCACCTGAGCCTGGACACTCGAGGCTGGAATTCCCTGGGCAAGGAGCATGTGGGATCACCCAGGGGGGATCCCACTGGAGATTCTCCCTCGCCAACATCCTGCTTTTTTTTTACTTCTCCTCCTTGCAGAGGCCAGGCAGGAGCTCACGACCGTGTACGCCCAAGTCAACCACTGCCAGCAGGTGAGTCCCTGCAGATCCATCTCCCCATCCTCCTGAGCCACACGGTGCAGAATCAACCCCCTGACTCCCTAAACAACCCCCTGGCTCCCTAAACAACCCCCTGGCTCCCGAAATTCCTCGTGCCAGAGGATGGGTGAGGCTCAGGACCCAGCCTGAACAGTTTAAATTCAAGTTGTTGCAGGGGAGGGGGATGAAAATCCTTCTCGTCTCGCAGCTTCCAAGGGTGGCAAATCAGGGCTATTTATTTATGTGAAGTGAATTGTTTATTGGGAGGAACGAGCAAACCAGGGAGCAGATGAAAGATCTCGGTCAGAATTGTTTATTGCACGTGTAAAAGCTAAAATATAGCTTTTACTATACAGTATATATATATTATATATATAAAGTATGTATATATTATATATAAAGTATGTATGTATTATATATATAAAGTATGTATATATTATATATAATGTATATATGACATATATAAATATAGATGTTTTATAAATATACATATATTTATATATAGTATAAAATGTATAAATAGTATAAAGAGTATAAATAATATAGCAGTATAAAGAGTATAAATAGTATAATAGTATAAGGTAGTATAAATAGTATAAAATAGTATAAATAGTATAAATAGTATAAATAGTCTAATACAGTATGAAAGTATAATATAGTATAAATATTATATAAATAACTACATAAATATAGTATAATGGTATAAATAGCATAAAACACCAGCATAAAATAGAATAATGCACTGTATTAAAGAAATTATATTAAAGCAGCAACTCGGCCTTGGACAGTCCCAGGGATGGGCCAACACTTCCAGGGGTGGATCAGAGAGGGATCTCTGGCTTTTTGGGGTCTCTTTGCCAACACCCAGCCCCTTCAAACCCTTTTAAAATCTCTTTTTTTTTTCCCCCCAGAGCATCTCTAACAGAACAAGAGACAACCCAAAAGGGGGAGAGACCTCCAGGACCATCTACTCCACCGTCAAGGCTCCAGCCCAGGTGAGCTGGGATTGATGTCCATCTCCCAGGAGATGGGTGGGACACGGAACCCCTGGAATGTGGGAACACTCAGGGTCCAGAGCCTCAAACCAAGGGGAGGGATGAGCTCCCACGAGCCCCAACCAAGCCTGTGTCCCTTTGCCCTTGCAGACAGACGATGAGAAGATGGTCAACAGCACGCTGGGGGCCCAGGAGGCGGATGAGAAGAGCAGCTACTCATTGGTCATCTGAAGGGACCTCCCCAGCACAGCTCCCACAGCTGAGCATGGAGCTGCAGCATCTTCCCCCTCTCCACTTCCCTCCTCATCACAGGTCCTGCCTGGGTGCAGGGAGGGGGGCCAGGAAGGGTGTCAGCACCCAGAGGATGTGAGAGCTGCAAGAGGATGTCGACACCCTGCCCAAGGGGCAGCTCCGTCTGCTGCTGAGGGAGCTTCAGGAACCCTGCTCTGGGTTTTTGGTGGTGGCTGAGCTCCTTTTTTCTACCTCCTTTCACCAAAACTGCGACTGCTCGTCCTTGTGGAAAGGACCTGAGGATTTTGGAAGCGTTTTCCCAACCGGAACGAGTTGAAAAAAAAAAAAAAACAAAGAAAACAAAAAAAACTATCTGAGTGACACGTCCAGTCATTCCTTAGACACCTCCAGGACTGGTGACCTCACCAGGCAGCCCCTTCCAACTGTCCGGGAAGAAGTTCCCTCCTGATTGTTTTGTTACGTTATTGTTTTGCTTTTTTTAATTGTTATTTTTATTTTGGCTCCACTTTCAAACCCGCTCTCGGCAGCTTCTTCATTTGCTAAAGGAAGACCTAAAAAAGAAGAAAAAATACCCACGAAAAGCTGAACCTTCTTCCCCCCACCACAACCACAGCTGCTGCCTCCCCCACGTTTGGGGACCTTCCAGAGCTGGTGGCTGAGCCCCCCACAGCAGGTTCTGCCATCAACCCCCCGGTGCCTCCGGAACCCTCTTCCTGCACCTGCCCCTCCTCCTGCTCTTTGCCTCGTGGTAAATTATTCAGGGATGAAAATGGAGATGCCTTTGAAGCTGCCTGGCATGGGAGAGCCCTCCAGGAGCTTCTGGAATAATAATAGTAATAATAATAATAATAATAATAAAAAAATAATGCCAGAGCTCCCTTCCTGTCTGCATCTCATCTGAGGAATTCGGGTTTGCTCAGCGTTTTCACGGGGCTGGTTTGGGGCTCCTCCAGTTCACACCAACCAGTTCAAAGCACAGCCCTCGGTGGGCTGTGTGTTTTCCCGAGGGATTTGCCCCACGTGGCACCAAATCTGCCCTTGGGATTCCAACTCTCAGCTTGGATTGGGCTCAAAACAGCGGTGGTGGCTCCAGGGAGTGGCCTGAAGGCAGCTGAGGAGCTGCTGGAGCATCACCCTCTCCTTGCCCAGCTCCAGCCCCTTTCCCTGCCACTCCCAGAGATGACTCCACGGGGTGATGTTGGGGGCTGTTAATCAGCCCAGTTTCACCTTTGAGCTCACAGGAAGCCGCTGGCTGGGCAACAAAAAAAAAAAAAAAAAAAAGGGAAGGAAGATGTTGCAGAAGGGGCGGTGGTGGGGGAGAGGAGGATGGAGCCGAGGGGCTTCGGGGCGAGGTGGCTCTGCCTTGCCCTGCTCTGCTCTGGGGCTGGTGAGTGGGGCTGGGGGAGCCTCTGTGGGGCTGGAGGGAGGAGGAGGAGGAGGGGGTGATGTGAAGGCAGAGAGGGCAACACCCCCAGGGCCTTCCTAGGGCCCCTTTGCAGCGGGGCAGGGGGGGACAAAGCTCAGGTCACGACTCGGCTTGGGGTTTGGGGGCCTCCTGAGCTCTCCCAGCACTGAGCTGGGCCTAAAACCTCGTCTGCCCCTCTCCTGGCCCAGCATCAGGGATGCTTGTGGAGTTTTTTTGCTTAGGTTTGGTTTTGTCTGGACTTTGGTGTAACCATGGGGTGATTCTTGGCGTGTCCCGTGCGGGGCCGGGAGTTGGACCTGGATGATCTTTGTGAGTCCCTTCCAACTCGGCATTTCCCATGACTTTATGACCCCAGCTCGGGCTGCCCTCTGATATTCCGTGACTTTAAGGTCCAGAACTCAGGGTATTTTTTTTGGTATTTTATGATCCTCGGCTTGGGGGACCCCATTTCACCACCGCAGAGTCCCCCACCCCTCGTGGGGCCACTGGTTGCTCAACCCCCAGAGCTGCTCAGTTTCCAACCAACCCTTGGCTTGGCCCCCCCCAAAAAAACCACCACAGTAGCAGCAGCAGCAGCAGCAGCACCGTTGGCTCATGGTCTGGTTTTGGGGGGGTTTTGTCTCGGGGGGGCTGCTCAGGTGCGAGCAGGCAGGATGTGGGACAGTGGCTCTGCTGGTGTTCAGCAGCCCCCTCAAAGCATCCTGAGCTGGAAGAGACCCAAAAAGATCACAGAGTCCAACCCCTGGCCCTGCACAGACACCCCAAAAGATCCCACCCTGTCACTCCAAACCCTCCTGGAGCTCTGGTAGCCTTGGGGCCGTCACCAAGTGACCCCAAGCGTGGCCACCCCAAAACCCTTCACCCTCCAGGCCATGACCCCACTCCCCCCCCAACATCTCTGTCCCCAGTCCCCTGAGCTGGAGGGATGTGGGGTGACGTTTTCTCACCCAGAGGGGGTAGTTGTGGTTTGGGGAGGACTGATCTGGGTTAAAAACCCTCGTTCCCAGCTCTCCACTTTCCAAGAGGAGGAGCCAGGGAATCAAAGCCCTACACGGCAGGATGACATCCTGGAGACAACAGGAGATCCCTTGGGGACAACAGGAGACCCCCTGGAGACAACAGGAGACCCCCTGGAGACAACAGGCCCCACCACAGCTTCCAGGGATGTGTCCACACCGATGACGTGGCCGACAGACACCGTGACCCCTCCTTGGACGGGGGACCCCATCAGCACCCCCAGCCCCAGCCGAGCCACCAGGAACCAAACCCGTGAGTCCCACGGAGAAAGGAAGGGATGTGCCACCACCCTGGAGGGCTCTGAGCAACCCACAGTGCTTGTCACAGCCCCCCCCTCCTCCCCCCAGGCCCACAACCCCTGTCTGTCCCCACAGAAAGCTCCTCGGCCTTTCCCGTCAGGTACTGGTCCCCCATCATCTTCGTGGTGGTTGCTCTGCTCGTTCTCTTCTTCACCTACCACAGGAAAAAGGGGGAAGGTGAGATCTGCCCCCTCCTACCCCCCCAGCAGCATCTGTCTCCCCCCCTCCTCGCTCAGCTGGCTTGGCCTCTCAGCCACATCCTCACAAAATATCGAGAAGTGTTGCAAAAAAGTCAGTTTATTGTGGTAGAGCACCACGAAGGGGGGGTCCTGGTCATGATCCCACCAGTCAGAAAAATAAAAAAAAAAACCCCTTTGGCCACAGCTCAGCCTTGTGAGGTTGCCCCTTTGCTCAGATCTGGTTCTGAAAGTCCAGAAGTCCAAAAACTCCCCCTATCCTTGCTCAGCTTTGCATTTCTGGGTTTCAGCTCTGCCCTTTCCCCCCCCCATCTTGAGGTTTCTCCTCTTGTGTTCACGCAAATCTCAGGGCTTGGGTTTTTTTTTTTTTCTTGACCCTCCTGCAAATCGAAACTGGAGCTTTGGCAGGTTATTCCCAAGAGGGTCTTGGTGGGATTTTCCAGAGTCCTGCTGTGGTAACAGCTCTGTCTGTCCTGGCCCACAGGGAGTCAGGACCAAGCTGTGCCTGCCAGTGACTCCTCAGGTGAGATGGGACCAATCCAGGCTGGGAATGAGCAGCTGGAGAAGGACTTGGAGGAGCTGGTGGGGCAGAGCTTGGACATGACCCAGCCTAAAACCTTCGTGCCCTGAGCTGATCCCCCAGTGTGGGCAGCAGGGCAGGGGGGGATTCTGCCCCTCTGCCCCCTCCAGACCCACCCCCAGACCCCCCTCCAGCCCTGGAGCTGCTGGAGCCACTCCAGAGGAGCTGAACAGAGGGGATGGAGCAGCTCTGATCCATCAGAAAGGCTGGGAGAGTTGGGATTGTTCAACCTGGAGAAGAGAAGCTTTTGGGGTGACCTGACTGGGGTCTTTCCAGGACCTGAAGGGGCTTCAAGGGATGTGGGGAGAGACTTTGGAGAAGGGATGGAGGGACAGGACAAGGGGGTGGGTTGAGACTGACAGAGAGGAGGTTTGGATGGATATTGGGAAGGAATTCCTGGCTGTGAGGGTGGGGAGGGCCTGGCACAGCTTGCCCAGAGAAGCTGTGACCGCCCCTGGATCCCTGGAAGTGTCCAAGGCCAGGTTGGAGCAACCTGGGCTGGTGGGAGGTGTCCCTGCCCGTGGAACTGGAGGATCTTTCCGGTCCCTCCCAGCCCAAATCATTCCATGATTCTGGGATATTTCACTGTTCCATCACTGACTGACCTGCTCTCTCCATGATCCCACCTCACCTTGCAGATTTGGGAGTCCTGGACCACCCCCCTGCCCATGACACCACCCCAATAATCGCAGCCCCCCAGGTGAGCCCCGGGGGGGGGGGTGTGACAGGGACCCCTTTCTGGGGAGCTGGGAGGGATTGGAGCCAAATCTCAGAGCCCCTCCAGGGCTCCATCCAGGCCCCAGTTTCCCCACAGCCCTCCTGTCCCTGGGGACCCCCTCCCACCCCTGGGGTCCCTACAGGTCCCATCTCACCCTGCGGTCCCCCCCTTGTCTCTGGGGTCCCTCTCCTGTCCCTGGGGGTCCCTCCTGGTTCTCCCCAACCCCAGGGTCCTTCCCCTTCCTTGGGGGTCCCTCTCCTGTCCCTGGGGTCCCTCCTGGTTCTCCCCAACCCCAGGGTCCTTCCCCTTCCTTGGGGGTCCCTCTCCTGTCCCTGGGGGTCCCTCCTGGTTCTCCCCAACCCCAGGGTCCTTCCCCTTCCTTGGACTCCCTCTCCCACCCCTGGGGGTCCATCCTGGTTCTCCCCAACCCCAGGGTCCTTCCCCTTCCTTGGACCCCCTCTCCCACCCCTGGGGGTCCCTCTCCTGTCCCCGGGGGTCCCTCCCTTGTCCCTGGGGTACCTGTGGTGCATCTCCCACCTCTCTTGCAGGGGGAGAGGAAGGGCCCAGAGCCCCCCCCAGCCCCTGACGTCACAGAAACCGCCTTCTCTGAGCCGGACCCCCCCCAACCCCAGGTATTTCCCTCCTTCTGGGCGAAGGGGCAGCTGAATCCCGGCCCCTCCAGCCCATCGAGACCCTCAGGAGGGTTTGTAGCCCCCCCGATTTTCCTTCTCGCAGCCGGATTCCCCCCCAGCTCGTGGCGGCTCCGGTGACGATTGAGGGTCCTGGGGAGGGGGGGGGGATCCCGGTGGCTTCCAGACACCCCCAGGGAACACGAGGGGGCACCGTGGGGACCGCGAGGAACCTCAGCCCTTCCTGGGGACGTTCCACATCCCGACGGGACCCGCGTGGCACGGGGACCCGCGTGGGACAGGGACCTGCGAGCGCTGTGCCCACCCCACCCCCGTGCCAGGATGGGGCGAGGGGGGGCACAGCCGAGCCAATAAAGTGGGATTTCACCCCAAAACCCCTGGAGTTTCTCTGCCGGGACGCTCAGCCCTTCGTGCCCCGCCCACGAGTCGCTTTTTCCCCCCCACGCCCCCCGTGTCTTGGAACGTGGGTGGGGGAAAAGGAGGTTTGGGGGCTCTTCTGTTACTCACACGGAGCAAAAAAACCACCCGAATAGGATGGAATAAGCCCCCTCAACCTCCCCCCAAAGCAGCAGCTCCTCAGGAGAACCCCTGAAGTCACCCCTGGGGTGATGGTGGGGAGCGTGAAAATATTCCCCACCCACCCACGAGGCGTGGTGGGGGAAAGGGGAGGTGCTAAAGCCAAAGGGAACACCCAAGTGGGTGGGTCCTGATGATTCAGGGCTTTGCCCTCCCTAAAAAACCCCCAAGGCGTAGGCAAAAAAAAAAAAAAAAAAAAAAGGAAAAAAAGTCAAAACGGGTTTATTTTATTACAAAAAAAAAAAAAATTGTACAATTTTAGTCCCTCTATGAAAAAAAAAACAAAAATAAAAAGCCAAACAAACAAACACCAACCAAAACTTGTTTCTACCACTGCCGGAACATTCCGACCCACTGCAAACTGTAAATAAAAACAAAACAAAACAAAACAAAACAAAAACCCCGAGCTTTTTATATATATTAAAAAACAATTTTACATTTTACAACTTTCTACACGCATGCACAAGGTCTGGGCTCTGCTGAAAAGAGAATCGAACCAACCCCAAGAAGGGACCCAAAAAAAACAACAAAAAAAGGCTTTTCTTCTTCTTCTTCTTCTTCTTCTTCTTAAACTCACAAGTGGAAAAATCCCCTCCCTCCCTGGCTGACCCTTCTACTTGACTGCTGAAATCTTTCTTTTTGTAGTAAAACACCCCAAAAATGGGCCCCTGCTAGGGGGGTGGAATTGGAATTGGGTCCTTCAGCCTCATGAGGCTGAAGACGAGGGGAGCAGCAGGAGGGGTTAAAAATTCCCCCAAAATGGAGATTTCCTGGAATTCGGGAAGGCCAGCCCCGAGCAGCGAGAGCTTGGGTGGGGTTGGACCCCTCCAGCACCAGGGAAAGCCCCTCCCCTCTCTTCCCACCTCCCCCCCCCTCAAATTCCCACCTTTTTAGTGCTTAGGATAAAACCAACCCCAAATCCAACCCAAGCCGAGCCTCCTCGGAATGAAATCAGCACCTCCATGAGCAAATCAACCCTACCAGGACCAGCCCCCCACTCCCACGGGTGCCCCACAGGACCCCCCCGTGGCGTGGCTGGACGTGGGATCTGGTGGGAAAACGTGAAAGAGTGAAAATAAATCCATGAGGTATTTGAGAACCTTGACAGAAAGCAGGAGGAGGCAAATTTTGTCACGTCCCGACGGGAATAATTCTGTGGGAATCACGTAGGGACGGTAATGAAGGACCTTGTTGACCCCTTCCCAGGAGCCTCTCGGGTTTGCAGATCCAGGACTTGGACCCCAGGAGATGTTTGAAGCTGCTTTGCCTCCAATTCCAGCTCCAAGTGCACCGGGAAGCCCCACGGAGGTGCTGCTGGAAGCAGGAACGTGGAGAGCAGCAGAACCCACGTGAAAACACCAAAAACCAACCCCCTGCTGTGAAAACACCCAAACCAACCTCCTGCTTCACTGGAAAAAAACAACAAAAAATCAGATTTCCACTCGTTTTTGCTAAAAAACCCATCAGCAGAGGCGAGGAGGAAGGCTCCTCCAGCCCGGAGTGTCCTGGAACGCCGGGGGAAGGTTTTTCATAGCAGCCATGGAATGTGGAGGTGTTCGCAAAATACTCTCCCCCTTTCCCTCCCTCCCCTCCCCCAAAAAAAAATCTCTAGGATTAAAAAAAATCCAGCCCCAAAGGCCGGGCTTGAAGTGGTTTAAGGCCAGAGCCAGCCAGGACAGGAGGAAAACGGGAGCAAGAGCAGAAGATCCTGGTGGGACCCGGCGGTTGCTCCGAGACGCTGGTGAAGAAGGTTTGGGATTAGCCCTTGAGTTGTGGCCACCGGGTCACCGTCACCCCTTCCTGGCCGTGCTGGGGAGATGCTACAAGGCCCTGGGTTTCAGGGAGGATGAGGAGGAGGAGGAGGAGGAGAAGGAGGAAGGGCTCAGCCCACCCCAAGGGGGGCCGTGATGAGGTGGAGGGCGGGTGACCCCGAGCCTGGGTTGGCGCCGGAGCCGCTTCCTGGAGTTCTGCCCAAGGTCCTTTGGGTCCTGGACCACCAAAGTCCTCGGTGAGCCCCTCCAAGGTGACCTCCACGAGCCCTGGCGTGGATGGAGGGGAGCAGGGAGGGTCTCCCAGCCACACCCCCCTCTCCACACCCCCTGCTCAGCTCACACGGAGGTCTCCGACTGCAGCCTCATGATGAACTTGTGCGACTTGGGGTCCACGAACTCCTCGGAGAGCTTGAAGAAGGGGATCTTCTTGGTGCTCACCACCAGGCTGAAGTCCTGGCGCTTCAGCACGAAGACCACGCCGTCCTTCAGGCCGTTGGTCACCGGCTCCTCGCTGACCAGCGTCCACTGCTTGGCCAGCCAGCGGTCCTTGTGGTACTGGATGGTGGGCCCGGCCGTCAGGTACCGCTCCAGGAACGCCTTGGGGAGGGAAGGGACACGGGGATGTCACGGGGAATTTCACCTTCCCGTGGCTCAGCCCTGGTTGGTTGGTTTTTGTTTGCAGCCTCGAGCAGCTCGGCAGGTCCTGCTGGAAAAACATCCCAGCATGGGTGGTTCCCATGGGGGGGGGCACAACTGCTTGTCCTGCCTGGATCCTGGGATTGCTGAGGTGGGAAAAGACCTCCAGGATCGTCCAGGCTATCCCTGTGCCCCATCCTCATCTTGGCCCCCAGCCCAGAGCACTCTGTGCCACGTCCTTGGACACCTCCAGGGGTGGGGACTCCAAACCTCCTGACCACCCTTTCCAGGAGGGAATTCCTCCTCATGGCCAACCTGCCCCTCCCCTGGCACAGCTTGAGGACTTTTCCTCCTGTCCCTTGTTCCCACTTTTACAACCTCCTGTCCTTGTTCCCCCTCTCTTGCCCTCCCACATGGGGAAAAAAACCCCCACCCAAGTCCTTGTGCTCGAGCAAAGCTGTGGACCTGCCCCGCCCCACGCACCTTGGGCGTCATGTCGTGGGTGATGCAGAACTCCAGGTGCTGCAGGATGCTCTCCATGGTGTGGTAGGGCTGCTGCTTGGTGGTCCTCAGGTACTTCTGCATGGCCCGGGCCATGGAGGCGAAGATGGCCTGGGCAGCCTCCCGGGGGTCCATGATCTCCCGTGGGTTCTTCTGGTCCTCCTCCTGCAGCCTCTTGATGTGGGTGAAAGCTTCTTCCACCGCCACCACCAGCCTGTGGGGACGAGAGCCATGGATGTGGATAGGGTGGGACAAGAGAACCCTGCGTTTGGGGGGAGCCTCTCACTGCCCCTCTGCGGACAGGGCCCAAATTCCAGCCCAAAACAGCTTTGTGGGAGCTCCCTCCACGCCACCATGGATGGACTGGAAGTGGTGACTTGTAGGGAGAGGAGCCCACAGGGGAGCAGGTCTAATGGTAGAATTTATGAGGCTATGAGGGACCCATGTTGGAGAGGTTCCCGAAGGACTGACCCCATGGAATACAGAGATGGAGCAGTTCCTGAAGGACTGATCCCACAGAATACAGAGATGGAGCAGTTCCTGAAGGACTGACCCCACAGAACATGGAGCTTGGAGCAGTTCCCAAAGGACTGACCCCACAGAATAAGGAGATAGAGCAGTTCCTGAAGCACTGACCCCACAGAATAAGGAGATAGAGCAGTTCCTGAAGGACTGACCCCATGGAATACAGAGTTGGAGCAGTTCCTGAAGGACTGACCCCACAGAACATGGAGCTGGAGCAGTTCCTGAAGGACTGACCCCATGGAACATGGACTTGGAGCAGTTCCTGAAGGACTGACCCCATGGAACACAGAGCTGGAGCAGTTCCCGAAGGAACCCTCCACGAGAACCCGTCCGCGGGCCCCGCTCCGGGCGCCGAGCCCGTACCTGGCGCGGCGTTTGCGCACCCGGCGCTCGTGCTCGGCCTCCTCGTAGTAGTACTCGTTGTGGCTGTTGTCGCGGCGCCGCGCGGCCGCAGCGATGACGGCGCGGGACTGCCCCGTGGAGTTGTTGGTGGAGTTCTCTGCAGGCAACAACGGGGAGGTTGGACAAGGGCTGGGCAGGCCCAGGGGTTGCCCGGCGCTCTCCGGAGCCAAGGAGCGGGAGGGGAAGGAGAGAACAAGAGGAGAAGGTGGAAGGGGGAAGAGGAGCTCACCCTCGCCGAGGGAATAGACCTTAAAGCCGGACATTTTCTTGGACAGGACGGATTTTGGCAGGTTGAGGAGGGCGGGGTTGTAGACCGGGAAATCGTGGTAGTAGTTCTCCAGGATCCACACGGCCGCTCGTTGGATGCTGCAGGGAGACAGGGCCGGGCATGGAATGAGAGTCAGGAGCGTGTGGGGAGAGGGGGACACACGGAGGGGCAGGAGGAGAGGGAGGGAGGGATGGATGAGCAGGTTGTCCTGAGAAGCTGTGGTTGCCTCGTTCCTGGAAGTGCCCAAGGCCAGCTTGGAGCAACCTGGACTAGTGGAAGGCATCCCTGCCCGTGGCAGGAGTGGGAATGAGACAACTCTTAAGGTCCTTCCAGCCCAAACCATTCCAGGATTCCATCGATTCACAGAAAACCGTTAAGGCTGGAAAAAAAAACCCTCCAAGGTCATCAAGCCCACCCTGTGCCCCATCCCCACCTTGTCCCTCCAGAGCGCTCAGCACCCCAACCTTGGACACCTCCAGGCGTGGGGACTCCCCCACCTCCCCGGGCAGCCCCTCCCGAGGCCCGACCACCCTTTCCCACGATCAACACGCAAACCCGCCCCTTCAAAAACCCCACTCCACACCTGAGGTGGCCGACGTTGTAGAATCGGCTGGCGCCGTCGGCCGAGCGCACGGCCTTGAGGGTGAACTGGGGCTGGAGCTGGCGCAGCTCCAGCAGCACCACGGCCAGGTAGTGCACGAAGAGCAGGGCGTCCACCAGCGACACGGCGTACTGCACCACGCCCTGGTAGTTGCGGTCCCGCGAGTCCAGGATCCTGACGCCGTAGAAGAGCCAGTAGGACACCACCAGCAGGAAGACCAGCACCATGAGAAGCGCCCGGAAGACGAAGACGCGCGGGAAGAAGGCTTTGGGGCGCCGGAAGAACAGGGCCCAGCTGCCCAGCAGGAGGATGAGGAGTTTGAAGGCCACGGAGATGAAGAGCCCCTCGCAGGGCGTCCCGCAGGGCTCCAGCTCCTCCCGCCACAGCAGCTGGGGCAGGAGCATGAAGGCGAGGGGCGTGAGGAAGGCCAGCAGCGCCAGCGCCCCGGCCAGCGCCACGCCCAGGTGGCGGGAGCAGTCCAGGTGGGCGCTGTCCTCCATGTCCTTGGTGATGCGGGTGATGTCATCGTGGGAGATGCTGTGCTCCGACGTCCCCGTCACCACCGTGGTGGTCTCGCCCCAGTTGTCATCCTGGGGGGGGGTGGGAGGGTGCGTAGGGGGAGGGTTACACGGGCCCCTGTGGGGTGTTGCCCTCACCCAGACCCACCCCTCCACCCCCACCCCACCCCACATTTCCAATCCCACCCGCCACACCTCATCGCCCAGAGCGCTGCCGGGCACCATCACCCCCATTTGGGTGGTGGAACCCCGGGCCGAGGCAGAGATTGGGGCGGGACCCTCTGGAAAACCCCTCCTGTGGGGGCTCCTTTCCGCACTCCGGCACCGGCGAGAGCGACTCTGGAAGTGGGAAGTCTCCTGCTGGCAGGCAAACCCCCTCATTGGTGGGGCCAGAAGGAACATGCCCAGTTCCTGTCCCAACACACCCAGGAAGGAGTCCCTGGGATCCCAACAGGTCTCCTCCTACCCCTCAGAACCTCCTGCTCCTCCTCCTCCTGCAGCCACAGCAGGGCCGAAACAACCCCGTTCCTGTTTGATTCCTTCCCACACGTCTGTCCCTGGGTCTGTCCCCTCCCTCAGCCCTTCACACCCCGGTTTGCAGCACTTGGGCCTCCCTAAAAATCATAATGTAGGTTTTTCCCATGAATTTCTTCAGGAAAGCCAGGAAATTCCTCCCTACGAGGGTGGGGAGGCGCTGGAAAATGTTGTCCGGAGAAGTTGTGGTTTCCCTATCCCTGGAAGTGTCCAAGGCCAGGCTGGACAGGGATTGGAGCAACCTGGGCTAGTGGAAGGTGTTCCCCTGGTGGGACTGGATGAGCCTAAAGTTTCCTCCTAACCCAATCCCACTCCGGAATTCTGTGAATTCTATTTCAGATTAAACCAAAGCCTCATCCTGAGGCTTTCCAGAAGCAGAGGGTTTGGGGGGTGGGAGGGGACCCAGTTTGTGCCCCAGCCCATCCCCAGCAGAGCCCTCGATGCCACGGCTGGACAGGGCAGGCTCAGCCTCAGCCGGCGCCGGCTCCTGGGAGAGGGAAGATGAAAAGAGCCGGAGCCGCCGGCGTGGGCGGCTGGGAGAGGATGAAAGCCCAGGATCAGGCTCCGTGGAGTCCGGAGGAATTCCAGCACCCGTGGAGGGCACGGGGGACCTCTGTGGGCCGGGGAGAGGCACAACACGGAGCCTCCTCCTCCTCCTCCTCCTCCTCCTCCGCGATCCCGCCGGGCGCTCCAGGGCGAGCTAAATCCCTTGGTGGGGGGAGCGGATCCCTAAGGATTGGATCCCCTGCGGGTGTTTTCCAGCCCCGGAGCGCTGCGACAACTTTGTCGGAGCCGGCTGCTCCTTCCATTTACCCCCGGAGAGCCCGGGCCCGGCCCAACCGGCTCGACCGCTCCGCCGGGAAGCACCGGGAGCGTCTGGAGCTCCTGCCAGCGGCTCCCACCCTTTGGCAGTGCCCCAGGGGCGGCACTGAGGTGCCAATCCCCCGACTCACCCTCTCGTCCCCCCGTGTCGACTCGTTGTCCAGCAAGGGCTCTCCCGGCGCTTGGATGGTCACGGATTTGTCCCCCCGGCTCCCGTCGCGGCTTTTGGAGCGATGCCGGTCCCGCCGGTCCCTGGGGGGGGGGGAAAGAGAAGGGAGCAGGGTGGGCACAGCGGGGTGGCAGCACCCACTGGAGGCCAGAGGGGACCCCTGGAGCCCTCACCTGTGCTTGCGGGAGCTGCGGGAATGCCCGGATTTGTAGGAATATCCCGAGTACTGCGACTCATTGTCCATGTTGTCGGAGCGCCGGGGCTTGTGCCGCTCCAGGGGTTTGGATCTCCCCGGCCCCGGGACGGCGGCCAGGGCCTCCTTCAGGGGGGGCTTCTTCAGGCCCAGGGGCACCTTCAAGAAGTCGACTGTCACCTTGAGGGTCTCTATTTTGATCACCTGGTTGGGCTCTTTCTCAGGAGAAAACGACTCGCCCACCTGCAGGGACCAAGGGAAGGCTCAGCTGTGGCATCCCGGTATTCCCACAGGGAATATTCCAGTGAAGGGTCACCCACCACCCACCCCCTGCAGCTCCAGCAGCATCAGGGGCGGGACATCAGCAGGAAAAGGGATTTGGGGTCATTTGGGGCATTTTCAGGTTTATCCTGAGCCCGGGCTGGGGCCGGCACGGCCGCCCTTCCCCCCAATCAACCGCTGGGATTTACACCTTAATTAATACCACCATCATTAATTCAACTGCCAAGACAATGCCTGGGGTGGGGGCCCAAAGGAAGGGGGTGAATAATTGGGTGCAGACGAGGTTCCAGGCCCGGCTGGGCGAGGGGAGCTCTGCCCGGACACGTTCCCTGCTCCAGGATCCCACACCCAGGAGAGCCCAGGCCGTGTCCGGGATCAGGGATTCACTGGGATGCAGCAGGACCTGGAGGTCTCCTGGGGTCCCACTCCAGCTCATCCTTGTGATTCTGGGGACCCCCAAAGTGCCCTGCTGTGGGTTTGGCACTGGGGGGGCTCTAGGGAGGGAATTTGGACACTTTGAATACCCGGAGCTGCATGATCCAACCCAGAAATATTGGATCCCGTTGGAGCATCCTGCAAATCCTCCTGCCATCCCCCTGAGGTGCCCAGGGGGGGTCACCCCCAGCCCCCCAAACCCCTCGTGGTGGTTTGGTCCCTGGCTGTGTTTGGGAACAATTCCCAGGTTTCCAGGGAAATGCCATTTCCACCGAGCAACCCCCCAAATGTCTTTTGGCCTCTTTTCTGAGGCCTCCAGGAGTGGGAGCCGGGGTCAAGGAGGCAAAAAGGAGGTGGGGGGGGTCGGAGGGGAGGATTCTTTTGTCCCAGATGCTGGATGCTCCCACATTTATCACTATGGAAACAAAAGCCACCCCCTGCCACCACAACCACCACCACCCCCCCCTTCCAGCGTTGTCTGGGAGATGGGAACAGCGCCGGGAGCTCGTCCCGGCATTCCCAGCGAGCGCTGGGGGAAGGGGGCCAGGAGAGAAAAGACCCCCCTGTGCCCCCCCTCACCCCAACCCTTTCCTGGGCTTTGTTTGCGGGCAGGGATCGGGTTTCTGCCGGGAACAATGCCTGGAGCTGCCTCCACCCAGCTCCGGCCCCACTCCGGCCCAGTAACACCAGTAAGAGGCTGATACTGGGGGTGGTGGCGGTGGGGGGGGGAATGGGGTCTCTCACTCACCCGAGGGGCAGCGCGGGGGGTCCGGGCGAGGCGGTGGCTGCACCCCCGTCCCGCTGCTCACCGAGGCACTCGGAGCATCCTGAGCCTCCGGAGGGGTCGGCATCCAGCTGGTGGGCACCCGAGGAGGGGTGGGCATGAAAAGGGGTGGGTGGGGGCAGCTCAAAGGACGGGCGGCAGCGCCGGGGGGTCGCAGTGGAGCTGGAGGGGTGAGGGGAGAGCAAGAGAGAAGGAAATCAGGGCAAGGAACACCCGAATTTCCCGCCGGGAATATCACCCTGCTGGGTTTTGGCTCCTGGGGGGGGGTAGCTGGGAAGGGCAGGGGAGGGATGTGAGGGTGGGATGGACTCCCCACACTCCCCCCCCCAAAACTGCCCAGTGTCACCTCCCAGGCCGAGCAGCCTGGTTAAATTTGGGGGTTTCCAAACATCCCACAGGATTTAAGGCCCCTCAGGCACCACAATCCCGTGGGCAGCAGCCCCCGTGTCACCCAGGGGTCCCCGTGGCTGTGCTGCTGGTGGGGGGACCTCAGGACAAGCCAGGCATCGGCACCCTGAGCCAGCAGCCAAATGAACTCCGGGATTTTCCAGATATCCCAACGGCCCAGGGATTTAACACCCCTAGGCCAACACACTTCAACCACACCAGAATTCCCCCTCCAATCCAGGGGTGCCCCCCTGGCTGTGCTGTTGGTGTAGGGGGACCCTGGGGCTATCCAGGTCCCCGAGGCAAATCCAGAGGTGGGGGGGGATGGAGGTTGATCCATTCCAAGGGAGATCCAGGCACTGATTCCCACAGGGAGCGAGTGAGGAGCTGGGTGAGCCTGGCCCATCCTTCCCAAGCTGGTGACGTTCCACAGGCTGCAGGGAGAGGCTTTGAGGGGCTTTCCCTGAGTTTTCCCACTGGTGTGGGATGGTTTTCTCCGGCGTGATCCATGGATTTCCACACTCCAGACAACGCAGGCCGTCTGTCCTTCCTGCACCAAAACGGCCCAACTTCCTCCCCAGAGGCTTGCAGGGGGAATCACCCCCATCCCAGCAGTTTTCCAAGGATAATTTGGAATTCAAGCAGCCGTCCTGTCGCTGGAAACAGCAGCTCCCTCGTCCTCCTGGTTAAAAAAAGATGGTTTGCCCCGCAGAGCAGGGGGGAAAAGCCGGTTCAGCAGCACAGGGCACTCAGGTGGAGAGGCTGGGAATGGATTCCTGGTCTCCAGGAGAAGCAGCTTCGCCTTCCCGAGGGCTGGGAGCCGGAGCCAGATGCAAACAAGGAGGAAAATTCACATTTTGAATGGTGAGGTGATTAGGAACCGTCAGAACGAGCTCTCCCCAGGGGGGAGGAGAGGATTTTTTTTTTCTTTTTTCCATCTCCTGACTCTTCAAGTCCAGACTGGATGTTTTTTTTTTTTCTCAGGATGGGGCTGGTTCAAAGCTCGGGAAAAGCCGCTGCCGCCGTCTCTGCGCTGCCTTTGGAGTCCTGAACCTCAAACACCAACCAGCTTTTGTATTCAAATGTTCCCAAAGGGAAAAAAAAAATAAATAAAAAATAGATCCAAGCGTTTGGAGATGAAAAAGCTGATTTTTCCAACGGCTCCAGAGCGAATCCTGAGGGAAATCCTCTCCTGCCATCCCTGTTTCCCCTCGGCACTGGGAGCTGGACGTGAGGCTTCCCGGAGAAAAACCCTCTTGGAGCAAAGGGCAGAGGGAGAATCCGGTGGCTGAGCAATTCTCCTGGCCAAGAGGGTTTGGGAAGGCAGCAGGGAGTGCCCGCTGCCATTTACACCCTCAGTGCTCTTTCCCAGCATCTGCAACTCCAGGACAATTCACTAAACACATCTGGGCAGGTGTTCTCCTCCTAGACAGAATCCCACAATCCTTGAGGTTGGAAAAGCCCTCTGAGACCACCCAGTCCAGTTCAGTCCAGTCCACCCTGTGCTGCCCCATCCCCACCTTGTCACCAACCCAGTGACACGTCCAGTCCTTCCTTGGGCACCTCCAGGGGTGGGGACTCCCCCCCTTCCCTGGGCAGCCCCTGCCAAGTCCTCACCTCCCTTTCCAGCAAGAAATTCCTCCTCATGTCCAACCTGACTCTCCTCTGGAGCATCTTGAGGCTGTTCCCCCTCCTCCTGTCCCTTCTTCCCTTCCAATGCCTGACAACCTTTTCCACGAAGAAAAACCACCAACATTCCTGAGGTTCCACCCACACAACTCGTTGCTCTTTGGGGCACCCACCTCCCGCTGTCCCCACTGTCCCCAACGTCCCCACCGTCCGGGAAGCAGCCACAGCTCCGTCCCCCACTCCGAGTCCTCGGGAGCTTCCCCGGGGGAAGGTGCCCATTGTGTGGAGGCAACAGGGCGTGTTGGTGTAGCCAAGCAAGCAAATTGTGCTGCTTGTCCCCTGTCAGCAGCCCCTGGGCCTGGGAGGTGCTCCCGTTCCCAGGCCGGTTTTGGCATCACCGCCACGGCCATCGCTCCTCGGGGGTGCCCGGGATGACCCCCCCCAGGGTCCCCGTGGAGGGGCAGGAGTTGCAGCTGAGGCTCCTGGTGGTGACCTGGTGACCCTGGAGGCCTTTTGCAACCTCAGGGATTCTGGGGCTGGCGAGGAAAAGCCCCGTGGGAGCTCCTGTTTGGATGAGTGGGGAGATGGGCTCTTCAGGGAGGAGCTGTGGGGTCAAAACAGATCCCCCCCCTGCCACGTCTATCCAAGCCTTCAAGTACCCAACAAGGAATCAGGGAGAGGCCTCCAAGGCAAATCACTTCCCTCCCCTCTCATTCACCCCTCCAGAAGCACAAATCCCAATTTTCCTTCCTTTTCCTTGGCTGTATCCACCCCTGGCAGCTGAAGCTGCTCTGGGAGCTCACAGCAGGTCCCTCAACCCTGAGGCTGCTTCCCATGCCTGAGTCCCCCCAACACCAAACTGGGAGGGCCCTTCCTGCCCCTGGAAAAGGAGGAATCCACAAACTTCCAGCATTTTGGTCCGTTGGCGCTTCAGAGGGACGCGGGAAAGGCCGAGTGGTTCAATCCAAACCCCCCCTCCCTCCCTCTCCGGGGGTCTCATTCTGCTCCTCCACTTGCTCAGCGTCAGCTTGGAGGCAGCAGGTTTAATATCCCTTCCAAAGTGCCACCTTTAATTAGGGTCACTCGGGATTGTTACAATATCCCCCTGGGAAGGGACCAATCCCCGGAGCGCTCCGGCCCCCACCGCGGCTCCTCCGGCCGGGAATTCCCACGGCGGGACAAAGCCCGGCCTCGCTCCTGGAGTTTGGATCCTGCAGAGTGTCCGGGAGCGCTGGGGGATCTGCAACCACAGGGAGAGAGGAGAGGGACAAAAGGAAAGGATTTGCTTGGGAATGGGGCGGGATAAAAAGGGGGAAGGGTGTTTGCAAGGCAAGGTGTGCGCTGAGGGATCCGACTCCGAGGGATCCTACACCGAGGGATCCTACACTGAGGGATCCTACACCAAGGGATCCTATACTGAGGGATCCTACACTGAGGGATCCTACACCAATGGATCCTACAGTAGGGATCCTACACCAATGGATCCTACACTAATGGATCCTGCACCAATGGATCCTACACCAATGGATCCTACACCAATGGATCCTACAGCCAAGGGATCCTGCACCAATGGATCCTGCACCAATGGATCCTACACCAATGGATCCTACACCAATGGATCCCACACTAATGGATTCTACACTAATGGATCCTACACCAATGGATCCTACACCAATGGATCCTACACCAAGGGATCCTACACCAATGGATCCTACACCAATGGATCCTACACCAATGGATCCTACACCAATGGATTCTACAGCAGGGATTCTACACTAATGGATCCTACAGCAGGGATCCTACACCAATGGATCCTGCACTAATGGATCCTACAGCAGGGATCCTACCCTGATCCCACCTGATCCACGCCTCCCTTCCCAGAGCTCCACGCCTGCCAGAGGGCTCAGCCCACGCCCCACATCCCTGAATCCTCCATCCACCTCATCCCAAGCTCTCCTAGTGGGGGGGGTCTCCATGGAGACGAGCAGCAGCGTTTCCCCGGGATCCAAATCCCACCGTCCCTTGCCCCCTCCTGCTCCCACCACACCGAGTGGCACTTCCACCAAGGGACAAACCTTCTGGAGCACGCCAGGACACAGGAGGGTGCACAGGGAGGAGTCCCCAAGTGGCACCACGGGATGCTCAGGCAGGATGAGCCGAGGAGGCACCAGGGGCTGCGCTCCTGGAAATCCATGGCCTTGGAATTCCACCCATTCTCCAAGAGCAGCCTCCCAAACTCTGTCTCTCCGAGTGACATCCCAAAAGGCCCATTCCTACCCCAAAAGGACCCCCAGAGCACCAAGGGGCTGTGCTTTTAGATCCATCACAGCTCTGCTCCAGCAGCTCCAGGTGCCTGATAACCCTCCTAAACCCTGCCAGGCAGCAGGATTTATCCGTGTCTTGGATCCTGGAAAAGCAGCAGAGACGGGATCTATCCAGGACCGAGGAGCAAGGGGAGTGTGTGTTCACCCACCAGCACTCCTGGAGGTGCCAGGGCTGAAATCCCTCCGTGGGGTCCGGTTTTGGCTCCGGGAACAGCCTGGGAAGGGCAGGGATGGTCCCTGCTTTCCTCCGAGGCCCCTTCCCAAGGATCCCCGGCCGGACAATAAAGCCATAAAGCATCTGCCACCCACCCTCGGCAAAAAAACCCACAACTGAAATCCAAAATTAAGCCAGCCCCGAGACCTGGGGCTGCTCCAGCGCTGCCCAGACGCCGGGAGATGGGCTCCCCCCCTTCCCAGCCCCCCCTCCGGCCCCATTGTCTGCGAGCTGGTGAAAACAAGGAACCACATTGGATCATTCCAAAGGCTGAAGGGAGCCCAGACGGAGCACGGGGGGGGGATGCCCCCCAAGCCCCGTTCCCACAATGGGGGCTGCCCGTGGGACACGGTGACCCTCACCCCTAAACCAGCCACCCCACGGTCCACCAGCCAGGCAAGGAGCCATCAGCGGCTCGTCTGCTAATTAAATCATCCGGTCTCATCCCGAGCTTTCCCCCCCACCCCCCCCAGCACAAAGACACTGGGAATACACGGGAGAAACCCAGGGATCACATCTGACTCAGGCTGCCTCGGAGCCCAGCTCGGTCCCAGCACAATCCCAAATTGCTGTGATTAAGCACCAGCCGTCCCCAGAGGCTCCGTGAAGATAATATTTAATTCTTCTTCTCCTTTTTTTTTTTCTTTTTTTTTTTTTTTTTAACCTCCACCCGGGTTATTACACCGAGGCCTGGGGGGCAAAAAAAGATCCTCTTCTACGCCCTCTCCCAAGGAAAAAAATAAATCCCCAGACAGAGCGGCAGGGCCCGACTTGGTGGTGTGGAGAGGAGAAGGGAACTCCCTGTTGGCTCCGGGCTCTGCCAGGACGGGACCAAGATAAACCGGCTCAGGATCCGGCCGGGTCTGTGCCGGGAGCAGGTGGGGGCGCTGGCAGAGCCGGGGAGGGGGGGAGAGGAACGAGCAGACCCTGCCCCGCGGGACCCCCAGCCCTGGCAGGAGCAGCCGAGCTTCTCCCCTCGCCATCCTCGGGCGCTGCCACCCCGCCCTGGTACCGGGCAGGTGGCGGGGGGGACACGGAGGGGACACCCCGCAGGTGCCCCCCGCGCAGGGGTGACGGGCAGGGGTGGGCACAAAGTCAGCCGTGCAGGGCACAAAGGGCTCGGAGGCCACCGGGTGGGTACCGTGGCATCGCGCCCCGTGCAGCCGGCGGGTCCCGGGGGAGGAGGGGGGGGTCCCGATTCCCTCCGCATCGCCCACCG